GACCAAATCCCTTCTCCTTCCTCTTTCTCCTCGTTCTCCCCTCCCTACCCTCCCATCCTCTGCTCCAACCCACATAGAAGGTCCAGGCAATCGATGGAATTCGGAGCTCAAATGTCTCTGTCATTGGCGTTCTAGGTGAAGGGCAAAGAAAAGGTGGATCGTTATATACGTCCTTCAAACCTTATTACTACAGCATTGTTTACTAATTGCCCAAGAGTAGTGATGTGATAGAAGTGTGTTGTTCACACGTGTTCGTCCTAGATATTTCATGTAAGCATGATGTGTCTGGTGGGGTTTTCACACTACAATGGTAGCTTTGGACGATGTATTAGGCAGTAATCCGCCGGTGCTCTTCCTCTGCGTCTCTCGTCTCGGTCACTCATCTCACCTCGTTCAGTCTCGTCTGGGTCGGTCCTGGGCTCTGTGTCCGATGCGTCTCTTCGTCTCTCCTCGCTCGTCGGTCTGCTCTGTCAAAGGGTGCGACTCTCCTCTCTTTTCCCCTTTCCTCGTCCTCAGAAACATGCAATGTGTTTCCTATTGGACGAAGCTCTTAGTGTTTGACCTCGACCTTCAAACCAATCTTCAGCTCTCCCCCTACCAAGTCTCAGCCAGGTTTCTATTAATAATTATTACCACTCGGGGGGGTGGGGTGAAGGTGGCGCGCATTCACTCATCGAGTGTAATACTAGGGTAGTTGTGTGGGTGTTTGTCTGTGCTGTCGGTCGGTGCAGGGCCATGGATGGGTCGATCCCTGGAGGATGCTTCATGGTGTCATCAGGGCTTCAGTCGTGGCTTCAAGAATAGCAAGAAGTGGGGAGTGGGACTGTTCTTACGCTGTAACAATGATCCGTTTGCAGAGCATAGAGCCAACGCTTTGTAATGGACTAATCGTCCGGTGGTCGGCGCATATGGTGAATCCGCTGGCAGAATAATGCCGCCTAGTGGTGGGGGCGCTGTGAGGTATTAGGCACGAACGGCACGCGGGGGTGCGGACGGCGTGTCCGCTGTGCTTGGTGTCTATCTTGGAAGGCACATGAGAGAGGTCCACAGACGAATTGACTCGGGCGGGTCGCGGGCGTCTCGTGACTACGTGTTAGGGCTAGCCCGGTGTCACGAACTTTGCTTGCTGTTTCGGAGCTACTTCGGCCGATGGGTGTGCAGCTGGTTTGGCTTGTGGTGTCATTTACAGCTGTTCCCATGCAAGGTACGGGGTGGTGGTCTGTTGGATAAGCACCAACGCCCTCTCTTGATCGTGAGATACCCTGGTTCTAATCCCAGGGGGGTGTACGCGCTGTGTTGTTTACAAATTGATGGGTAATAGAGCAGTCTGAGTCTGTTTGTATAGTGGAACCGGTTTGTGTTCATCGACGTTTCAAGGGGCCAGGCCCGGGGGGGGGATGGCCATAGGTTGAGGGGGGAAGAATTGTGGGGGATTAGTCTTCGTGGTGAAAAAACTATAGAACACCATGAGGTGCCCAGTTCGAATCCCCATCTAGGGTCCGCCGGCACTAGAAATTGTCAGGATTGGTGTCGAGAGCATTGGGGTGCTGGGAACAATCTGCTGGGTTCCGTCCTCCCCTTACCTACCCACAAATCTACCACGACCCACTTTTCTCAAGGGCAGCGTACAGTTTCGCATTGCACTACGTCCGTCGACTTCCTGTCTGGGATAGATGAAGGGCTGGGCGTTTTTTTTTTTGCACTACAATCCACAGGTAATACGAAAATTATAGAGAGATGAAGGTTGGCAATTTTCAACCTTATATATTTTTTTGGGCCTCAACATAAATGGGCTGTGGGCCATTTTTTCAACCTATCCCTGGGAAAATAGTACATAACATTCTGTTCTTTTGATGCAATGTCAAGAACCATCAATTGTGGTGTGCCGACACTTGTGTAAAAGGGTTCCCACAGTGTGCCGAGGGCTGCACTTTATGCTTTTCATTCATTGCCTTTACAGTGAGCATTGCCCATGTCAATTTTTTGGTCTATCCTCCTACAAATCTTTGCTCGCACACATAAGCACGACTTTTTTTTTCTACGAACTTCTTTCTGAAGAAGTTGGCCAGCACTCTATCTGTCTTTGTTCCTCCCCCCCCTTCTTCCCTGTTTCTCCCCATTCTCCCCTTTCCCTCCTCCCCGGTCTTTTTTTCCCCTTTCGTTTTTTCCCCTCCGTTTCCTTCCCGCGTTAGGGTATTAATCTAATTCTTTTGTTCCCCTTTCCATCTCCTCCCAACCCCTTTCCCCCTCGTACGGTTTGATGATTTCTCGGCCTCTTCCCCCCTACTGTTCCATATCCCTTTTCCCAGGAGAAGTGGAGAGAGGAGAAGGATGAGGTGAGAAGGGAGTGAGGGGAGGAGAAGAAAAATAACGGAAGGTGCTCCATCTCGTCCTGATCCTTCTTTCCCTTAATGGGTCCCCTGCCACAAAGATTCTGTCTGCTTTCTGCCAACTCGGAATTCCTGAACGCACACATTTTTGTTGAATTTCTTTTAATATTGTCGTCGGCATTCGTTTCCTCACCACCCCCTCCTCTGTGCAGCCGATACCAGTGCCAGTCTGGGGTGGAAGACGTGGCTGATGGAGACACCAAGATCAGCAGTTGCTCCTTCAGAGGAAACCTCAGGGCCAGTGGTGGCTCAGGATATATAATATAGGTGTAGTTCAATAATGTGGAACCTCGTAATATGAACTCCAGCGGACCATCAAAAAGTTCAATTAACAGGAATTCAACTATAACTAGCTAGTTGTTGTGCTATTCCTTAAAATAATGTGTGGGGATATCTCAAATGGTTCAATTAGCCAGGTATTTCAGAATGTCAAAGAGGAAAACCCTTTCAAAATTGCTACTCTCTCTCTCTCTCTCCCTTCTCCTCTCTCCCTTTCTCGCAGGATCCAAGAACCTCATCAAAGTCAGCTGCAGGGACCCAACTGTCTCCCGGCACTCTCACACTCTGCAAGCCAACGGAGATTTCGACAAGAAAGCCTGGCTAGACGCCTTCCAGCAAGTCCTCCTCCCAACATAATCCGCCACAAGATAAAGTCACAACACAGTTTAGTCATTATTTCTGACACATAAAAATTATTTTAATACCCTTGCATCATCATACAGTACATGCATCTAAGATCACTGCAAAGTGTATTATGCAGATTTTTTTGCTAAATTTTTGCAGTGAATGTCAAAATTTTCATTGCCGTAGAACTGTTTTCTGAAATGTCAAAATTTTATTATTCACACACAAGCAGTAATGCTTGTTTTCAGTTTGTGCCGCTAAAATTTCATTTCTGGAGATCTTCACCTTTGACCCCGAGATGTTTGGTACTGTCAGGAGCTCTCTGTACCCATTCAGTCCACGATCCCAGAGAGAGAGAAAAAAAACATGTCACAAAAAAACCTTTTTCTAATTTTTAGTAAATACATTGGGTTACGCCTTTTCAAATAACTACAGTGGGTAACGAGATCATAATGATAGGGGCTGCAGGTAGTCTTGGTTACGAGATCATAGTGATAGGGGCGGCAGTATGCAATCTTGGTGATAATGGATCATAATGATAGGGGTACTGATAGTCTTACATCATAGACGGGAATCTCGGCTCCGATGAGTGACGCAGCGAAGGCAACAAACGGAGCCACGACGGCTCCTCCGCACGTCAGTACTGTGGGCTTCGACAGGTCCAGTCCTGCCACCTCAAACACTAGAGCAGAGATTTTAAGTCTGGGGAATGCAGCTTCTACTTCGTAACACCTCATAGAGCAAATGAAACGTGATTTTGGCAAGTGAAACGAGAATTTAAATTTTTCGCGCATGTCAGCAAAGAGAGAAATGTTACTAAGATCAATAGGTCTTTTTTCAACAACACTTTTCTACCTTTCTGTGCGAAATATTCTCACACGAAAAAAGAATGGCACACTATGTACGTACCCTCCTTGATGGCCTCTTTGCTCTTGAGTGTCTTGGAGTCTGGGTGAATGAGTTCTGTGAACGGGACATTGGTGGTGCCAAGGATGTGCCCGCTATGGAGGGACTTGTTCGGTTCCGGAGCTGTTCCGTCGAATCGACCTTTGGGACGACTGTCTATCACCTTTAGAAGGAGGAGAAAAGTGCAAATTTATGGGATCGTAGCAATTGGTATAATTATTTTGAAGTAGTAAAAATTTGTGGGATCATTTTCGTGGTGCATAAATTTTTGCAGAATGGTCAAATTTTTTGATAGTGCTAAAATTAATGGAATGAGGTATAATAATTATACTCAAAATTGATGGGATGTAAGAACCTGTTCTTTCTTGATGTGGTAGTTGTCCATGATTTGCCCCATTTCTCGGACGAGGTGGGGTCGGTAAGTTGCCTTGAAGACGGCGGGCGTTATTTGGGGTTGCTCGCTGCTCACAGTAGGTCTTCCTTCGGCCACCCACTTGGGCAGACCTCCGTCTAACACCGACACTTTATCATGACCAAACACCTGAAGAAGAAAAACTATTTGAGGGCACTGTCACGATACCGTAATAATTGTACGTTTAATTATGTATAAATAGATGTTTGTGGGCGTGGCAATAATACCTTGAACATCCACCAATCCCTTCCAACGGAGTAGAACCCAAATTTGGCGTTGTTGTCGTAGACAACTACGTGAGTATCGTTGCTTATTCCAAGCTGAAAGAGATAGAGAGAGAGGTCAAAAGTAGCCGAAAGAGATAGAGAGAGGGTCAAACGTAGCCGAAAGAGATAGAGAGAGGGTCAAAAGTAGCCGAAAGAGATAGAGAGAGGGTCAAAAGTAGCCGAAAGAGACAGAGAGAGGGTCAAAAGTAGCCGAGAGAGAGAGGAGTCAAAAGTAGCGAATAGAGAGAGACGAGGTCTACGAATCTTAAACATCACACTGAAAGTGAGTGAGAGCAGAAAAGATAGCTAGTCGTATGTGTATGAAAAGTAAACCCTCCAAAAAGAACCCTCCGAATAAAGGACACATCTCAAAAATGCACACCTGCTTCGATCTACCCCATTCACATCTTAATGTAAACATTCAGTGGTTTCATTGTATATACTCTTAAGCCCATGGGTATCTTCTTAAATCACCATAATTTTATGTATAAAGTATTAGCGCCTAGAATTATAACCCCCATAAAATTCTTATGGAGGCTCTGGACACATTTATGTGTCTGCGGCTGGTTAAGTGTTGACTATGAAAGGTCAGGCAAAGCAAAGAACTCAACGCCAGAAGAAAAACGTATTACATCATCATCATTACCTCTCCGACTTGTTTCTCGAACTGTGCTGCCGGGGGCAACATGAGCGGCATTTGGTGGGAGGTGTCTCTGATGACTCTGAAATCAAACCCCAAGGCCCCGTCGATGTGACACTCTTGATACTCTGCATCTGCATCTCTCTGCCACATGGGCTGGTGGAACGTCCCTGTTAAAGAGAAACAGTTGGAAAAGAGGAAGAAATGAGAGCAGTGAGAGAGGGGAGAAAGAGAGTTGAGAATGAGAGGGCGACAAAGTACAGAAAGTGTCAAGCTCCCAAGCATAATATTATTGCGGAATCCCAATATTGCAGCCGTATTAGGCAACTAACCGTCCAACAAGACGATATTTGGATCTCGTTTGTCGATCCAGTTTTCTTGTAGCCACGCACACGACACCAGCGGCCCTGGATCACCCATTTCTACTTCCTCAGTCACAACCTCGTTCGACGGTGTTTCTCTGTTCTGCGCAACTGCGCGGCTTTTATACGCATGCGATTACGTGACGACGTTGGCACCGCAATGTCCGATTGAACTTTGACCCGCGTCACGCACGCTCACGCACCGCAACGTGTAGCTCGCAATACGCGTACGCATGCGTGCAACAGCAACATTGATAAAGGGCACAAAAACAATACACTACAAGGATTTTCAGTTTACAATAAATTAATGACAGAAGGAGAATTTTAGATAGCACAGTCAAAATGGATGTTAAAAAGTATTATACAGCACTATTCAACCGGGTTACGACCACAAAGAAAAACATACAAAATACACAAGTAATTTACAATATTTACAAGATTTTCAGGCAAGATAAGAACGTCGACAATGATAATTCTAAAAAAATTGTAACTGATGTGAATGGTCTTTCTGTGCTTATAGATGAATTACAAGAAACGTTTCCATGGCAACATGTCATCGTGCATGACAAGTCCAAACCACACTGAAACATAACCACCGAATACGAAAAAGAGAGTGCAAAGACTGTTCCCATGGCAACGTGCTAAACAAGTGTTCCCATGGTAACAGAGTAAGGCGAGTCTTCCTCCTCGGGGGACTGGGGTGCAAAGGTCTCCGGGGGAGGTTGGTTTTGTGAGTAGTGGAGTAATGAGGGTTCGGAGTTGCATCGTTTGATCTTGGGCATGTTGTCGGCTAGCTGATCAAGATCAACAAGAATCTGAGAGCCAGAGGCAAAAAATTGGTTTGCAATATTCAAAAATTCCACTTATGACTGTGTGCGTAGTAACTGAGAATTCATGCTGGTGCACATTTATTCTGTACATACACAGGGTAGAAATACTAACATGCATCCTTTCACAGGTTTTTAAAAAATTGAGCTTTGAAGGTCAGCAGAGAAGAGTTACCATTGCAAAGTGGACTACAACTGGGTTAAAATGAAAATACGGCTGCTGGCACCAGAGTTTAACTTGACAAGACTACAAAGGGTTAAATGGGGCCTGGCACCAAAGGGTTGGCAATCAAGCTACAAAAGGATTAACGGAAAAAGAGGACTGGGGCTAAAGGGTTAACCTGCGGGAAAAGTGGGCGTTCCTCTTTCTTGAACTGGCAGCAGCGAATGCACAGCTGTTTGAAGGTCTTGGGAGTGTCCTTACGAGCAGCTGTGGGGTCTGGCCGGAGAAATCCACACCCCACCATGAATAGAATCTAGAGGGAGAAGGAGGGGGTAACTAGAGGAAGGCAGAGCACTCTGTGTTCTAGAGAGGGCTCTACCAACTGAGGCACCTCAGCTGGCTGGGCTGAATCACTCATACAGAGCAAGGCAGAGCACTCTGTGTTCTAGAGAGGCTCTACCAACTGAGGCAGCTCAGCTGGCTGGGCTGAATCACTCATACAGAGCAAGGCAGAGCACTCTGTGTTCTAGAGAGGGCTCTACCAACTGAGGCAGCTCAGCTGGCCGGGCTGAATCACTCATACAGAGCACTCTGTGTTCTAGAGAGGGCTCTACCAACTGAGGCAGCTCAGCTGGCTGGGCAGAACCACTCATACAGAGCAAGGCAGAGCACTCTGTGTTCTAGAGAGGGCTCTACCAACTGAGGCAGCTCAGCTGGCTGGGCTGAATCACTCATACAGAGCAAGGCAGAGCACTCTGTGTTCTAGAGAGGGCTCTACCAACTGAGGCAGCTCAGCTGGCTGGGCTGAATCACTCATACAGAGCAAGGGCAGAGCACTCTGTGTTCTAGAGAGGGCTCTACCAACTGAGGCAGCTTAGCTGGCCGGGCTGAATCACTCATACAGAGCACTCTGTGTTCTAGAGAGGCAAACTGAAACGGAAACCAACCGTATCTCTTCCCTCCACATGTCTGTAAGGCAGTTGTGCGGTGATCAACTCGTAAATGACGACTCCGAATGAGTAGACGTCACAGTATGGTGTGTATGGATCGGGTCCTTCATCTGAATCACCTCCGGAGCCTGCATGGGAGTTTACGGGGAGCTTTAACAAACCTTGATCACTTTTACATTTTTCTTTAAAACCTTCATTCCTTCTACACACCGTTTTCTAAAAAATCCCACTACATCTGTACCTAATCCCCCCTCGTATCTAAACATGAACACTTGCATTCTCATTTTTGTCGCTTTTCTCTCTCTCTCCCCTTCCCCTTTCTTGCTTTACCAATCCCGTCCTTCCTTGCCTCCCACCCTCCCTTTCGTAAGGGGTATATACCTGAATTTTAAAACTTTTTAAAACTTCATGGGTTGAATTCTACTATGCCAAGGAACAAGAAATATATTCTCAGGCTTTGTTTCAATATATTCGTGTGTTCGGGTCACGTACATTTCTAGTACGAGAAAATGCGAAAGAAAACTAAAAAAACTAACCATCCATAAGATGCTGCCGGTGGGTTGTCTAACTTTCTCCTCTCCTCTCCACACCGTCTTGACCGTAGCTAGCCCAAAGTCTCCAATCTTTACCGTCAAATCGTCGTGAAGAAAGATGTCTTAGTGGCAACAGAGTTAAAGTTACAACACCACAATCAAATGCTGAACAATAAAACAATGCCCGCAATGATGGTGCTATTATTTTTCTTGAAGATGAAGTATGGAAGAATTAGGATACTGTTAGATTTCAGGTCACGGTGAATTATGTTCTTGGCATGAAGATAGCTATTTGAAAAGAAAAAGAAATATCACACTTGGTACTAAATAAAACTGTATATTTAGTGAACACCTAAATATTAAGGGGAAAATTTTAGGATCTTCAAATATTTTACAATTCGGACCTCCTAAACTCCCTTCTAGAAAAAAAACCACCAAAAACTCACTCGACCCCCTGTGCCGTCTGTTTTGCCACGTCAATCATCTGATGCATCTCCAACTTCATCTCCTGAACATGCACCACTCTGTACAACGTGGAGCCCTCACACCACTGGGTTACTATGGTGATCTGCGGGAGCGACGTCCAACCCATGAACAGGATGATGTTGGCGTGCCGGGTCTTGCGCAACACCGACACTTCGTTCTTGAAGGCTTGCAGCTGTGCCTCAGTCGGGTTGGTGACCTTCAGCTTCTTTATGGCGACTGGCCCTGCAGGGGTTAAAGTTGGTTTTATAGAGAGGGACCAACTGAGGCAGCTCAGCTGGCTGGGCTGAATCACTCATACAGAGCAAGGTAGAGCACTCTGTGTTCTAGAGAGGGCTCTACCAACTGAGGCAGCTCAGCTGGCTGGGCTGAACCACTCATACAGAGCAAGGCAGAGCACTCTGTGTTCTAGAGAGGGCCCTACCAACTGAGGCAGCTCAGCTGGCCGGGCTGAATCACTCATACAGAGCAAGGCAGAGCACTCTGTGTTCTAGAGAGGGCTCTACCAACTGAGGCAGCCATAACTAAGCAGGTACATACCGTGCCATTTTCCCTTGTAGACAGTCCCGAAAGATCCGGAGCCAATCTTTTCGTCAATCTGAATGTCTTGATAAGGAATCTCCCATTCATCTGTACTATCTCTGTGTGTCTTCTATGACATAGAGAGAGAGAGAGAGAGAGAAGGAGGTTATTTTCATGTGCCACACCTGTTCTTTCGTGCCCCTTTAGTAAACTCTGATTTATGAAAGAACCAACCTTTCTTGATTTCTCCTCAGACCCGCTCTTGTTCCTCCGATGTTTACTGAGAGGCAGCGTACTGGAATGGTAGGATGTGGATGAGCCATGGCGACCACTGGACGATGCCCCGCCCTCTTTCCCGTTGCCTCTCTCTCTCTCCTTCGGAGCTACTATCAGCTCTCCACTGGACGTGCTTCTGTGTGACGCCTGCAGAGCTACAAATGAGAGATAATATATTCGAATGACTGGAAAAACAAATAGCTTCCGCGAATCGTGTAAATGAAACTTATTGTGAACGTGATCGGATGGCATGCTCGAAGAGCTACAAAGGAGGCACAGGTACACATACACATTGTGTGAAAATAAAACCTTGTGACAAATTGCTTTTTTGCGGATCGCATTTTGTGAAAATGGTTGGCTGGCACTATTCTACTGGCAGCGTTGCTTTATTTTTGAAAACATGTTGCCTCTGCTTCCTCTCTCCCTCCCCCCTCCCTACCTACCCTGTTGTCTATGGTTGACGATGATCCCGGGACTACTGGCTGGACTCGGACTATCTGGAGTGACGGAGAGACGATCGCCAGACGAATTACGTCGCTCCAAAGGCCCTCTCTTGCGATCGTGGACGACATGCTGTCTGTCCAGAATGTTTCCTGACCCTTTCCTACAAAATATTTAGAGCAAGGATTAAATTTTTGTGATACGGTAAAAATTTTGGGACATCATAATTATATAGGTGGTTCTTAAAACACCCAAAAAATATTCCTCTAGTTAACAAGTAAATGCCGCCAATGTGTATACATATACATATACATATATACCTCTCTAATCTCTGGTGTTTGGTGTCACCTCCAGCTCCAGCTGGTGCTGCTGATCTGGGGTCTTCACTCCCAGTCCCGTGGACCTGCATGTGCTCAACACTACTGGCACTTATCTGAGAGAGGGAGAGAGATGGAGAGAGAGGGAGAAGAGGGAGAGAGAGAGAGAGAGGGAGAGATGGAGAGAGAGGGAGAGAGAGGGAGAAGAGGCGAGAGAGGGAGAGAGATGGGAGAAGAGGGAGAGAGAGGGAGAAGAGGCAGAGAGATGGAGAAGAGGGAGAGAGAGGGAGAAGAGGGTTAAAGCATATTTACTACCTCTTTCTCCATCTTCGAGGAGAACTTTATCGTCACCTTTGCTTCTCCTTTCCCCAGCTACATTTATGGCAACTTTCGAGACAAAAACTTCGCGTGAATTTCGCAACAACACAATTTTCCCCCCCAAACACAACACACAACACATATATACATACACACCAGCGGACCCAAATTACGATATTACAAATGTTTTTGAGCGATCCGCGAAAATGTTTGTCAGGAAAATTTTAAATTACGCCATTTTTTCACATTCACACCTGTCGTCTGTGTCTTCGGTGACCTTTGCTGTGATGAGAAGAGGTCGTCTCCGTGGCGACGGCGACAGTGTGAATGTGGTCGAGGGAGGGAGAGGAGGACGAAGAGGAGGTGTGGCGATTGTCGCCACGGATGTGAGAGGCGAGGGACGAGGAGGAGGAGTCAGGTAGATAGCCAGAGTCCGGTGAGAGGAGACTAAGAATGAGAGGGAGGGAGGGAGAGAGGGAGAAAAAATAGAGTGTGATGGACAAAAAGCATAGCGGAAAAAAATCGAGGAATCAGGGTAGGGAGGGAGGGAAGATGACAAAAAGTGACAGAAAGATGGCAAAAAAAGGAAGGGATGGAGTAGAAAGGACAGCAGAAAATATTTATATCGTATGAAACTGGCCCGCATGAAGCAACGTGACAGTGTGCAAGACGTACTTGTGAGTGTCGGTGGTGGGTGTGGTCGATCCCGTGGCTCGATAGTGAGGCGATGTACTGCGAGAAAATCTCGATTCCTGTGAGGTCATAGCGTCTAAATTTAGAACTAAACAGACTTACTAACACAATGATTATGTTTCTATTTCTAGTAACATTTCTAAATTTAGCCGTTATTTTACGCAGTTTTTGTCTCGAAAGTTGCCATAAATGTAGCTGGGGAAAGGAGGAGCAAAATTTCTCTATGCTTCCATAAAATCAAGACTTACATGCACGTCGCTGCTGCATCTGTCTCGGTTGCCGTTGGTGCTGTTGTAGAGGACGTTTGGCGTCGAAATTGATCGCTCGCGAGTCCCAGAGCTCATCTTACGGAGATGGTGGTGGGAGGACGAGTCCGGACTGCCTTGTCGAACCTCCATCTTCAGAGTGCACACACAGAGAAGGGGATTTATTAAAGGGAATGTGTGTAATACATACATGTAAGAGCTAAATTTAGAAATGTTACTAAAAATAGAACAAACCAATAGGGGCACAGTGAAAGAATGCAATGAAGTTTACCATTTGTGACAGCGGCTGAGGGGTAGGTGTCTGGGAAGGCGGGGCGGCGGCAGGAGGAGAGGTGAATGTGAACTGAATTGGCATCTGAGGTGTCTTTGGGGGTATGCTCTGGACAACAGCCGGGGTGTTCTGCCCTGCCAGGAGACTGATGGGGGAGTGAGGGGGGAGGAGGAGAAGGAAGAAAGGGAGTGTGTGTGTGGGAAGGGGGAGGGGGGAGAAGGAGAACGAAGAAGAGGAGAGGAAGAAAGAGAGGTGTGTGGGGGAGAGAGATAAAAAAGATACATACGTAAGGAGTGAGGGAGAGAGATTAATAAAGGAAACATTGCACAATAGAACCTCTCTCTAAGGACACCCCTGAAATGAGGACACTTCACTAATAAGGACACCTTTTCTTTCCCCCAAGAACGGTTCTTGCATGCAATGTAGCTAACCCCTGAAATGAGGACACCTCACTAATAAGGACACTTTCTTCTGTCCCAATGGTGTCTGGATACAGACGTATGTAGGCTAGACAACGGTTCATTCAACATGTACACTGTATAGGTCTCACTAGGCATAGAGAATGTCGTCGTCATAGTAACTACATCTGATTGGCACTTTTGGGCAGCATCGTTGGTGACAACGGTATCCACAGGCGTCGCATCTGCTCAGAGGGGATGGGATACAACTTCACACACTAAAACACGTCAGTAACACTCCAACAATAATACGTACAATATGTGGCCATTTGGACTATGTATACAATGATGGAACAGCAAGAGACTTTGTACCAGAGCCCGAAGCCTGAAGAAAAGTGAAGGGGACGCTTGGATTTTGCCTGAAATTTATGCTACACATTATTATAGAGGCTCATCACTACGTATTCTGTCAATAAGTCGAAGGTAAACTTAACCAGTCACGGACACAGAAATGTGTCCAGAGCCTCCATAAGTCCATAAGAATTTATATGGGGGTTATAATACTAGGCGCTAATACTTTATACATCAACTTATGCTTATTTAAGCAGATACCCACGGCGTCCAAAGTTAAAGGTGATGCAATTTCTCGCATTTCTTGTTTTGTTTTGTTGGCGAAACGGAAATGTAATGAGTAGGACTGAACACTTTTTTAATTTTATTACTGATACGTTTGGGCATATGTTGTAATTTCTTGGCACATCTACAAATCCGAACGTGAATACAGTAAGTATACCTGAAGCCTTGGAAAAGGTATTTCTTGCACACGTCACAGAAAGCCAGGGCAATAAATGTCTTTCTAACCTGTGAAATACACCACGTAATTATATTATCTATATCTGATATTCATATCTACAACGATGAGGTATAATATTATACTGCAGTGCAATAAGTTGGAAAACACAAACAACAAAACAAGCAAGAATCACAACAGAGATTTTCCTTACAAAATTATGATGATTCTCAATCGCAGTCTTCTTAAAATTGTCCTTATATTCAACACGGACCTACGTATTAGAATCACACATCACACAGAGACAGGCGGAAATCACAAAATTTTAATCACTTGTTAGATACAGTGGAACCCCTCTAATCCAGACACCAATGGGACAGAAGAAAGTGTCCATATTAGAGAGGTGTCCTTATTTCAGGGGTTGAATTGCATGCAAGAACTGTTCTTGGGGAAAGAAATGGTGTCCTTATTAGAGAGGAGTTCCACTGTATTTCAATCACTTCAATCATTACGTTTGTGTAAACCCTCGTGCCTACTACGCGGACCAGTACACTTGCATGTGAAATACAAACAGTCTTACTACATCATTCTTCACATTCTTGAGAATATGTGATCTAGACAGCTTTCAGTTCATACTAACTTGTATACATATAATACAGGGTCCAAAAATGTGTGGGTAAAAATCTCAAAAATCGGTCATCAAATAAATACAGGTCCTCATAAATTTCCACTGGACTAAAAATCAGGTCGTAAAAAAATCATTGTGTGTTTCAGAACATCACCTCTTGCCCTCCGAGTACACTTGTGTCAGTTGCCCAGTCGATGAACCGCTGGCGGTGATTCTTGTGATTGACGTACACGACGCAGCGACTCGTTGAGAGGTTGCGTGTCGTCATTGGCTTCTTCAGAGCCTGGCGCAGCGTCAGGCCGTGTTGAACCTTGACCTGTGTCATCACACCAGTAAGGAACATCAGGAGACAAGCACATAATAAAAAATCCAGCGAATTTTAATTAATAGCTATAATAGTATAGTACCTACTTAGTGAGAACACTGTTTGGTTTAGAAAACAAAGCAAATGTTTCCTAATAGACTATATACTACTGTCTGTCTGTGAGAAAGGTCACCCTTTTCATTGGGCGAGAGAACATTTCATTACCACCACTCTCTTGCCTACAAAGGCTTCCCAGCTAAAATCCTACAACAGAGAGTTGCATATGTACGCAACTATTGACGAGTGAATGCGAGTATGTAGTTCAATTTTTCGCACGCTTAATTAGAACGCATTAAGTGCCCGTCACATTGGTGTAGGCTTGCTTTGCTCTCAATATTATAGGTTCCATACGGGCATACCGCTGTTCTCATTCCGTCTGGGAGACCCACGCGAAGAACATCTTCTTCGCCGCACAGAGAAGGAGTGAGGGGGAGGTTGGAGGGGGGTGGATGTGAGAGAGGGAAGGAGGGAGAGGTGTAGGGAGGAGAGTGAGGGATGCTGGAGAGCGAGGGGCCGAGGGGAGGGTGGGACGGTTGAGGAGGAGGATTCGGGGAGGTCACGGGCAGATGGACTGAATGACGGCTGCAGAATAAGGAGGGAGAGAATGATGTCACATGGTAAATGGTAGGGATGAATCACACTCCAGCTACAATAGCAAAACTATAGAGGTTAGTTGGTTTGTCTTTACTGAATGAAATTTTTCGAAGTAAATGGACAGGTATGTATACTCAAGTTATAGCTAAACTACGGTGGCTGGTTGGTTTGTCGTTTCTTTCACTCACGTTCTTTCAAAAAATGCAAACTGTCAAAGCCATACTCCAACTATAGTCCAAGCATTAGAGCTAGTTGGTTTGTTGTTTCTTTCACTCACAATCCTACAAAAAATGCAAAATCCTCGAAGCCTTTATTCGCCTAGTATTCCATACTCCAACTATAGTACAAGCATTAGAGCTAGTTGGTTTGTCTCTTCTTCCACTCACGTTCCTACAAAAAATGCAAAATCCTCGAAGCCTTTATTCGCCTAGTATTCCATACTCCAACTATAGTACAAGCATTAGAGCTAGTTGGTTTGTCTCTTCTTCACTCACGTTCCTACAAAAAATGCAAAATCCTCGAAGCCTTTATTCGCCTAGTATTCCATACTCCAACTATAGTACAAGCATTAGAGCTAGTTGGTTTGTCTCTTCTTCCACTCACGTTCCTACAAAAATGCAAAATCTTCGAAGCCTTTATTCGCCTAGTATTCCATACTCCAACTATAGTACAAGCATTAGAGATAGTTGGTTTGTCTCTTCTTCCACTCACGTTCCTACAAAAAATGCAAATCCTCGAAGCCTTTATTCGCCTAGTATTCCATACTCCAACTATAGTACAAGCATTAGAGCTAGTTGGTTTGTCTCTTCTTCCACTCACGTTCCTACAAAAAATGCAAAATCCTCGAAGCCTTTATTCGCCTAGTATTCCATACTCCAACTATAGTACAAGCATTAGAGCTAGTTGGTTTGTCTCTTCTTCCACTCCACGTTCCTACAAAAATGGCAAATCCTCGAAGCCTTTATTCGCCTAGTATTCCATACTCCAACTATAGTACAAGCATAGAGATAGTTGGTTTGTTCTCTTCTTCCACTCACGTTCCTACAAAAAATGCAAAATCCTCGAAGCCTTTATTCGCCTAGTATTCCATACTCCAACTATAGTCCAAGCATTAGAGCTAGTTGGTTTGTCTCTTCTTTCACTCACGTTCTTTCAAAATATGCAAACGCGTGATAAGAATGGGGACATGGTAATCGCCTGCCATTTGCAACTCACGTACTTGTATACATCATGGTAATGAAATATCGAAAAGAAGGATAATATTCTTACGTGGGTGAAAATAGTTGACTGTCGCTGGCTTCAGGTGACCTGTGACCTTGTGCCCCAGGGGAGTGGGTCACCCCTGCAATCATGTGACAATCATGAGAGAATCATATGACTCTGCAGTCACGTGACTAATGACAGCAAATTTGTGACTCAAAACTTGAGTCTTAAAGGGAATGTAGTAAACGAGGGCTAAATTTAGAAATGTTACTAAAGATGGAACAAAACAATAGGGACACATTGCATTTCTAAATTTAGCCCTTGCATACTGCCAACTACTTTCTCTCTTCCTTACTCTGTCTGTTGTTGGTTAGGTCTCTCTCTCTCCTCTTCAACTCCTGAAGCCTCACGTACAGAGCCAGCTCTTCCTCTATCACCAGAGAGGGTCGTTCCCCATGACCGATGAATCCTATCTGCTGGATCTCGTGTAGTTCCAACTCCGTCGCGCTGATTATCTTACGAAGCTCACGAACCTAAACAAGAGAGGGAGGGAGATGGATTATGGTTCTTTGGAAAAAGGTGGAATCAAAAACACCAATGGGACAAGAAGAAAGTGTGTGAGACACACACACACACACAAGAGAGACAGAGAGAGAGAGAGAGAGAGAGGAGAGAGAGAGAGAGAGAGGAGAGAGAGAGAGAGAGAGAGGAGAGATGAGAGATGAGAGGTCACATGCAGCAAACAACAACACCAGAACAGTTGTGGACACACTGGAAGGTTTGGCAGGTGAGCTCCTGTTGCCACGACAACGCAGACGTTGCACGTAGACCACATGTTCGATAAACAATGACGAGTCGCATAACGAGGTTTTCAGTGCTTGCTATGCACTTTTGAGGAACATTTACAAAGTTTATTTTGACGGGAGCAAAACTTGTGGTTTGAAAAACACGCAGGTAACACAGCACTGCGGGTAGAGCAAACGTAACCATGGGTACATATATTAATAAGTAACTACACCCGTTATTCTATACAACGAGCCTCTATAATCCTGACACCACTGGGGCAGAAGAGAGTGTCCATATTAGTGAGGTGTCCTGAGCATTATACAGTGGAACTCCTCTAATCCGGACACCACTGGGGCAGAAGAAAGTGTCTGTATTAGTGAGGTGTCCTTATTTCAGGGGTTGAATTGGATGCAAGAACTGTTCTTGGGGAAAGAAAAAGTGTTCGTGTCCTCATACCAGTGGTGTCTTTTGGCTCTACTGTGTGCACGTTCAGTAATCTTTAGGGCAATAAGGTGGAATTATGGGGCAAACCCTAAACATTGCACAAACACTGCATCATAGCACATCAAGCATCATGTCATAATGCATCAAGCCACCACCATTTGATGTACATGTCATAATGCATCAAGCCACCATCATTTGATGCACATGTCATAATGCATCACGCATCATGTGATGCATGCATGATAAAACGTTGACAAAAGTACAGGTATGTATATATATGTTTGTTGTACAGTGTGCAGCATGAACATGCAAAGCTAGTTGCACAAGTTGATAACCTGTTTGTTGTCGGGACACAATTTCCCCTTACTTCCATTACAGGAAGTAGAGAAGGCACTTACACAGCTCAGCTATTTGGAACAGCCCTAACATTGAACCAACACACTACTTAATATAGAACAGTGGATCCCCTCTCTTAGGACGCCCCTGAAATGAGGACACCTCTCTAATAAGGACAACTTTTGGAACAGTCCTTGCATGCAACAACAACAGGGCACCTCACTAATATGGACACTTTCGTCTGTCTCATTTGTGTCTGGATTAGAGGAGTTCCACTGTATCTTTGCTAAGTAATGGTTGAGCACAGCTTATAAACACAAGTAATTCACTGTCAATTGTACCTACCAATTACTATGGGTGTAATAGGTCTGTGCCATGCAATATATTTCATACATGTACAGCCCATAGCAATGTACCTACTTAATGTAGAGTAGCATTAGTCTATGAGTTGCAAGCACTTGCACGGGTGGCTATATTCATATAATAATGTGTAGTTAATGTGGCGTAACATGTTATTGACTGTGCATATAATACCTCATAGTTTTCACATGCTTCACATATGTAGAGCTGATATGCATGAGGGCAGTGCCAAAGTTTTTTAATGCTCAGATGTTAGGGCTAGATGTGTACTATGGCTTATAGGTGTTTATTGTTTCTTTGAACATATGTAGGGTTGTCCTCTAGTTCTAGGTGCTATGTATATATAAGTTAGGGCTGCAAAGTGGCGCCTTCTCTACTTCCTGTGGTGTGTGGGTGTTAAGTCTACAGCTGGCCTGGCTGATCACTCATACAGAGCAAGGCAGAGCACCACTCTGTGTTCTAGAGAGGGCTCTACCAACTGAGGCAGCTCAGCTGGCCGGGCTGAATCACTCATACAGAGCAAGGCAGAGCACTCTGTGCTCTAGAGAGGGCTCTACCAACCGAGGCAGCTCAGCTGGCCGGGCTGAATCACTCATACAGAGCAAGGCAGAGCACTCTGTGTTCTAGAGAGGGCTCTACCAACTGAGGCAGCTCAGCTGGCTGGGCTGAATCACTCATACAGAGCAAGGCAGAGCACTCTGTGTTCTAGAGAGGGCTCTACCAACTGAGGCAGCTCAGCTGGCTGGGCTTACAGAGCAAGGCAGAGCACTCTGTGCTCTAGAGAGGGCTCTACCAACCGAGGCAGCTCAGCTGGCGGGGCTGAATCACTCATACAGCATTCTGTGTTCTAGAGAGGGCTCTACCAACTCAGCTGAATCACACCAACAGACTCACAGCTGGTAGCACCTGGTCTCAATGTATAACTAACAGGAAGCGAAATTCGTCTGAATGTTCTCAAATTAAGTCAAGTGACTCTTTTCCCATGCACCGTTACCGTAGAAGTCAACACTAGAAACAAGATCTGTACAAGGCACTACTGCATACACACACATAGATATCAGGTTGGCATAACATACGAATTCTTGCAGCTAATATTTACGAAACTGTATATAGTAAAACTTTGTAGCCCTAGCTTTTAATTCGCAGTTTTTTATTTCACACACAGTGTGTTGTTTCTTGTGTTTGTTCAATCTTGCTGCGGTTTGATAAAATATTTTCACTAACACTTTTGACTCCGTATACAGTGGAACTCCTCCAATCTGGACACATTAATAGGAAAAGAAAGTGTCTATATTACTGACATGTCCCACTTCGAGGGTTTAAGAACTGTTCTTTGGGGGTGTCCTTATTAGTGAGGTGTCCTCATTTCAGGGGTTGAATTGCATGCAAGAACTGTTCTTGGGGAAAAGGTGACCTTATTAGAGAGGTGTCCTCATTTCAGGGGTTGAATTGCATGCAAGAACTGTTCTTGGGAAGGAAAAGGTGTCCTTATTAGAGAGGTGTCCTCATTTCAGGGGTTGAATTGCATGCAAGAACTGTTCTTGGGGAAAGAAGAGTGTCCTCATTTCAGGGGTTGAAAGAACTGTTCTCGAGGAAGGAAAAGGTGTCCTTATTATAGAGGTGTCCTCATTTCAGGGATGTCCTTATTAGAGAGGTGTCCTCATTTCAGGGATGTCCTTATTAGAGAGGTGTCCTCATTTCAGGGATGTCCTTATTAGAGAGGTGTCCTCATTTCAGGGATGTCCTTATTAGGAGGTGTCCTCGTTTCAGGGATGTCCTTATTAGAGAGGTGTCCTCGTTTCAGGGATGTCCTTATTAGAGAGGTGTCCTTATTTCAGGGGTGTCCTTAGAGAGAGGTTCCACTGTACATGTACAAAACACACTTTAATCAGACCTGTACTTGAGAGTACTTTACACGAAATTGTTGCGATTTCTCTGCTGACGAAACCTTACATAATCAATTATTGTTGCAATTCACATGTACTTGTACATGAATATCTATTTGACAATACAAAGATTCTCAAAACACGCAAGCACGACACGTGACACGCAAAAACATCAGATTTCTCGCTAAATTTGTTTAACTCTCCATTATCATGTTGTCGCCGTGGCAACGACATGGGAGAACACAGCTACAAGAAGCAACAGACCGAGTGAAATATGCAGAAAACGATGTAACTAATTGCATTCCATACATTCCTCGGTACATTCCGGTACTTAAATGTACACGTGTAGAGGACACGTATGGACATGTGTATGAAATGTGTACACAAATTGATGGACGAAAATCCCTGCAGAATTATAGAAAGTTATGCGGTCATGTGATGTCATTTGTGGACTGATTATAGTGGTGTCCTGATCTCAAACAAAGCGTCCTGATCATCAGAGTTCAGGACACCTCACCTATACAACATTAGGGTCCCAACAACACGGCTTCACATTGTCACGTGCTGATTTGAAGCAACACGAGCCGGGCAAATCCCATTCTTTACGCAAACGTAGCTGACATGCGATACTGCACACAGCATTGCACGACATAGTACGACGTCACACGTACTTACACACTAGCCCATGTTGTGTACCATAAGTGGGTTTAGAGACATTTGCCAGCAAGAGCACAATGATCGTGTACTTACATGGCACTTGAGAAATTGCTCACACAGATACGCGATAGCACACTGGCCAAACCTAGTTGTTTACGCGTGGACAGCTAGCTGTAGACGTGTACCGTATACAAGGTGGGGACTACTTCTTGAGTACGTAAAGAGTTAAGTTCTCTTGTGTGTAGATAAAGGGTTAAAACTGCTAGAATTCCTACTGGTAGATAAAGGGTTAAAGTACTGCTCTCACATCTCCTGGTTATAAACAAAGGGTTAATTAAAGTCTTCTGCTTTCAAGTAAAGAATGGCTGGTAAGAGTAAATGCCTGCAGCTTGCAGAGAAAATTTGGGAGCCACGGAGTAAAATATCTTGCAAAAAGGGTTAAAAACACTAGGCACTGAAATCTGTAGCTACAGGGTTAAATGCTAGAGACTATGGAAGCAAAAGAGTTAATCTTCCTCTCCCACAAACGATGTCATAGTTTAACAAAATGGGGAGTTACGAAATGAGGAAATTGGGATTCTTGATGTCAGTTTTGTTGTCCTTTGAGAGCGTTTGTGGCTGAAAGTCGCAACCTTTTGTTGACATTTCACAACAGTTGAGTAAACTTGTAGCTGTGCTGTATGTGCAGTGAAAGAGAGGGTCCTGATCAGTGAGGTGTCCTGATTAGTAAGGTGTCTTGATTAGTGAGGTGTCCTGATCAGTGAGGTGTCCTGATTATTGGTGTCCTGATCAGTGCCGTGTCCTGATCAGTTGAAAACCTTCCTGACTAGCCATGAAATTGTGGAACTAAACCTCCCAGACTAATTCAGTTCACCTTAATGTCAAGTGTGATTTCATAATGCATGGGAAATTCCAGGTCTAGATGTGCAATACCTTTACACTCACATAATGTATGTATGTATATACATACGTCATACCAAGCTGCATTACACTACAGGTTGTTTAAGGATAGATTTGCAAACTAGCTTCCTTGCAAGACATAACAACAATAGTTGCAATATCGGCACCTACTTCCCTTCCCCTCATGACTTGTGAACAACAATTATGTCAGACTGCAAAAACTTCAGCTCAGGCTGTGTGCAACAAGAACCAGCCATATTAACAGACATGTGATGCATTCCATTGTACACACACAGACCCAAAATTAATGTAGGAATGACCGTTTATTGAGGGAAGGTTTAAAGGTAACGTATGCTATAGTCCAATCCAAGGCACGCATGGACGGGTCACCGATTAGATAACGACCCAGGATAGAAAGGGTTTTAAACAGAACAGCTGTCACCAACACTCACAACAAGTACCCTTGCTAGTAAACCTTGTAAAATGACGCGTGAGGAAAACGAATTAAATTCCGGAATTGCGTTTGTAAAAAAACGTCATGTGCTACGGTAACGGACAAAATGTAATTACTTAGGGGGAAGGTCCTAATTGAACAACTGAAACACACTCCGAATTTGGCGAATTATTTTTACACAAGCAATCACAGTTTTATACTAATAAAATAAAACCGAACTCGTGAACTGGTGGGAGTGATTGCAAACACTATGAACGATCTTCATTGCCCTCATTTCCATGTGGACACACAAACAGATTAGCAAAGTATAAAACAGCCTCAAATAAGGCGAAAATAACAGACAAGAACTTCAAAGTACTCGGACAATTAATCGCCTAACAGTAACCCAGCCCCACACTAGCTGGGACCGACACAAGCTTGTACGCTCGCAAAGCCTAAAAGACGCCCTCCACTTGACTTCACACACACTACGAATCCTTTGAAGTCAAACGCCAAGTGTCAAAAGAAGGAGGCAAAACTGCACGGCATTTTTTCACCCCCCCTGGCTGCCAATTCCAGATTGCAACCGGCAGACAATCACTTTGACTGCTATGCCGTCTTCAAAGAAAACTGAGTTGCCAGCCGCAGGAGTGCGAAAACAAGGGCCCTAGCCCTGAAAATTTCAGGCGAGCACGCTCACCTATTCAGGGGGGACAGGGGAAAATGTAGGTGAACATTTTCCACAGCTCTCAGGCCCCGTGTAGTGTTGACAATACACTCCAGCCCCAGAGGGTATTGTATACTCCAGTGAGTGCGCACTAATTGGAACGACTCACCTTTGGAAATCTACACGCATACTACGCGACGGGGAGAGACGGGGGAGTAAAGGAGCGGGCTAGGGGGCAGGTACGGGCCTCCGTCACTCCCTCTAACACGACGCTAACTCCCTAGGAAACGCGAGACAAAGACGAAACGGCGGGTAAGCGTAACTAGAGCCCGGGTCGACACGCTCACCGCGTCCAGCGTGGGCGAGATTAGACCAGAATGCAAGAACAACACACGCAAAGCGTGTGCTTTCCCGCGCTACACCAGACGCTAACAAACTCCTACACTACAGCCGTCTATCCGCCGACAAACGTATAGATACGGGGGAGAGCGAGGGAGGAAAGACGCGCCGGTCTGGCAAGAAAAGTGGAGAGAGCGGGTTTGCTAGCAACGCTTGCTGGGGAGAAGCACGCGAGTCTCTAGGAATGCACACGCACACCGCACAAACTCAGCCGTCCGAGCACACCAGCTAGCTATACGTAGCAACACCCACAGCATTGAGCTTACAGTGACACAAACTCGACGCAACAAATGCAACATCTGTCTCTACGTGGAACAAAACGGAGGGTGAGCGTGCTAGAGCTCTCCTCACCTCTTTAGAGGGGGAGGGAGGTCCTGGATTGTGGTGGTGGGAGACGCCCATGGCGGCGGGGACCACTCGCGGTGGCTGAGGTAGCGGTGCAGCCGCTGTGGCCGCAGACATCTCTTCCCTCGACGACCGTCTCTCTGCCTTCTTTCCGTACAAACGCCACCTCGGGAGCTGCCAGCCAATAGCTGCGTATACACACACACACTGCTGGCTGAGCTTGCGTCTATGATTGTATAGCCCCTTTTTCGGCTCCTTGGAGAACTAGTAATTTTGAAGTACCGTAAACTACGAGAAAATACTCCGTTCGAAATTTACGCACAGATAGATACCGCGCATGCGCATTATTCGTTTAATTAGAGAGAGATATACATATATAGGTCGATCATGCGCAAATAATTGTCCGCGCCGTCCGTCGCTAGAGCTGCGACCCAACGGACCAGCGTCTTCTAATGGCACTGCGAAGGCAGTTGCTGCTGAACGGAACCGCAGGAGTCCAACAAGGCAACCAGACTCGCTACGCATTCAGTAATTCTCCTGCCCCGCCGCTGACGACTAATTTCGACGCCGATTCTCCGGATCTTCGTGAACACGACGGATGGACCACAACCAGCAGCGAGGAAACAGATGATGAAGGTTAACATAATATAAGAATTGAAAGATTATATCAATAAATATGAAACATATATAATTCGGTTTTTATACAATAATTATTGCCAGATGTACATAATATATAGCTAGGTCACTTTTAGGTTTTTCCCGTAAACATGGAGCTTTTCTCAATTTGTCCCGGTAATGCCTACATAAAAGCAATATACTGTAGCTTCTCTGGTGTGAAACAAAATGTTAGAGTGCTTTCATTTGCACCATTACTCTGAGCTGAGAAGAACACTTTCCCGTGCTATATACTTTGCTCTGTTTACTGAGCAACCAAGTACATCTTGGGTACAAGCTTGGCTATTGAGATGTGTGTTTAGCCAGCAAGCCTTCCCTAGTTGAGGTACTATAAAGGAACAAGTAGCGATATTTTTGAACACTGGGATAATGTAAGTATATTGCCTGCCTAATTCTAAAGCGTCCATGTACCTTTTTGTCATGTGGTCCATCTGGCTATTGAATATCTCTAATGGGGTGCTTATATATGCCATAATCCTTATTATCATCAGGACATGTAACCTTTTTGATACATGCTGCCCTTTACAAAAGTGTTAATTTCTGCACAGAAGTGTTTAATCTGAGAAACAAGCTTATCACGGTTGAATGATGACCATTAATGGTATATATATACTCTGCGGATTTACTTGTACACAAAAGGCCAAGTTTTATGAATACCTGTAAGCTATTTACGCCAGCAATTAAGCTGCACACTCTTTACCTGAAAAAAATTATATCGTATACAAGTTGATACTGATCACCAAATCATCAATTCAGGCTCTAGCATAGAGTTCTTGCACATTAGAGTGTAGCACTGATAGATAGACCAACACACTCATGATAATGCCTATTGTAACAATTTTTACAGAGTTGCTGTTGCAAGCAGTGCCATCTCGAAGACACTGCTGGTGGAGAGAGATTCTCTGCGTTCTCCTCTGGATTATTATTGCCTCAGCTGTACCAGCCACCATCGTCCTCACTATAAAACATCGGACGCTCGATGTTACTCATTTGGGGTACACGGGAGACACAATTGAACTGCTGCGGGTCGACGGATTCTGGCACGACTATCTCAGAATAAGTCAGGTGGTGGAGGGAGGTGATGATGAGCATAGAGTCCAGCTGTATCTCCCTCGTTGCTCAGATGTCGAAATACACGAAACATCCAGTGACTACGTGAGCCCGTATCATCAGCACTCGCAGAAAAGTCGGCAGATGGGTGCGATGCAACACGTCTATCTTTTATCCGGGAGCTCAGTGAGTTACACGTTCTGTATGCAATCGAATGAGACAGCAGATACATCAAAGGCCATGTTCTTCGTGTTCAACGACCGGGAGAAGTATATGGAATACGTATACAGAGACGGAAATGGCAAAAAATCGGTTTTTCAGTACAAGTTAGCTGTCGGTCCATCAGACCAGTCCCCCATTTGCTCTACATTTACGTTCACCGCGAAAAAGAGCAACTACTATTTCATGGCTGGGCAGTGCAACGGAGGTGTAAGCTATCACTACAACGTCACTCTCAACACCAAGTTTCTCAATTTCAAAGACTACAGAGAGAACAAGTCTTGCTCAGCTCTGACCGTCAATCACGACTGCGAAATACCAGTTGGAACCCAGTTTCTCTCAAAGTTGGAAAAATACTGTCTTCTCGCTCACATCATACCTCGTAAAGGACGGAGCAAGTTGTCGCCAACCACTCACCTGAGGGTTAGTGCTGGGAAAAGAGGAGAGGTGGTGGCTTTACCGGTAATGGTGATTGTGGTGGGTGTGGCCGGCCTCCTGGTCGTGGTGGTGACGTACTGCTGCTGTTGTTGCAGGAAGTGTTGTTTGGGTCATAGACCAATTATTAGAGGGAGGCGGTATACCCTCATTAGCGTGTGAAATAATATTAATTTTGTAGTTAGAATTTTTTGGTATATTTTTGTGAGATTTTCATCATATAATTTGATCACATCCGTAGTTGTCTAGTCTCATCATCGCGATCGACCGAGAACAAGTGTTACTGCGCATGCTCTAATTAATAATTTCGGTGGGACGGCGTGCGCACGCCTGCAGTACTGTGGCATTCGTCATTTTTCTGCCACTGCGAGCTGCTATGGCCCGTCTCGGTCAGGGATCCGCGTTGGCGCTGGTTTTCCTCGTTCTCTTTTGCAGCGCCACCGTTGTTTTTTCCCAGTGTAACACTCAGAGCGTTGACAGGACGCTGGAAGACGGAGCCACCGGTGGAGATGTTGTAAAGGCGACGGCAGACAAGATCCGGGAATCCGGGATATTCGGCGACGACCACGAATTTCTTCGACGAATGGCCAAAGTGGAATCGGACAATGGAAGAATAATGGGTCCAGGAGGAATATGGAGGGTTGATTTAGAAACTTTCAAAGACGTGGATGTATTCATATTGTTGCAACAAGAGACCCCTACACTGCAATCTCAATTCGAAGAACATTTTTGCTTTTCTTGGTCTGTAGAAGTTACATCCAGGGAATACAGTGCGATGGATGTTCCATTGTACTCCGCACTGACAGTGATGGTTTATTTGAGCTTAACTGGGCAAATTATTCCACAGAACACAGAGCAGCAGGCTGAGTTGTGGACCGAGCATCTGAACAGAAATGGGGATGAACAAGAGTTTATCAGTATTTCAAGGTCATTAAGAGGTAACAAATTCCTATCATCAACTAATTATATTTACTGAGTTGTCATAGATGCAGACAACGAGTGCCGAATAAAAGGAGTGGACATGGTGTTTGTGATGGATGAGTCGGGAAGTGTTGGAGCAAGTAATTTCGAAAAGATGAAGCAGCTGGCAATTGATATCACAGAAAGTTTTGAAATAGGGCCTGATCGCACCCAAGTTGCCTGGATTAGCTTCGCGTCATATGCTCGGGTGGTATTCAACCTGACCGATTATTCCACCAAGGACACACTTCACGATGCAATTCGTGGTATTACGTACGGGGGTGGAGGCACTGCAATTGGGAGAGCGTTGGAGACTCTGCGTACAGAAGGATTTGTTGGTGGTCGCAACAACTTTGATACGCCCGAGGTTGCTATTGTAGTTACTTATGGGCAGACAAATGCTGGAATTGACACAAGTACTGCTGCAGATAACTTGCGTAGAGATAGAAATGTGAATGTGTTTGCGGTGGGAGTAGGGACAGGCGTAGATACTGCTGAACTGGCAATAATTGCTTCAGCTGGAATTGAAAGCACGCAGGATCGCACACAGCTTATAGATGGCTTCATAGACAATCAACTCAACATACTCCAGCAGCTAATCAGGGCCCGCACTTGTTTCGGTAAGTCTTACATACGTTTTCTCCTTTTATGACCACTATTGCTATTACAGATGCTATGTTTTCTGACAATCTTCAATCGATTGAAAGACTGAATGCGGCCAATGTGAGCATACCAGAGGGGGTAACGGTTCATGTTGCTGTCGAATGCCCATTGGAAGGACTCACTGTCAATGCATGTGGACGCACAGGAACTACTATTCTCTACTTCTCACGGTCAAGTAGCCCCAACAGCGCTAACTATGAAATTATCTTTACCATAATGGCCGGGCAATGCCGTAATACCTACATTGACTGTGTTCCCATGAGGATCTTTATGACAGTAGAGGGGATCGCAGAGACCAATGAGTACAACTTGACTGCAATGACTGGGGATATTTCCACTTTGCAAGGCATGTGCTAGCCATGCACTGTTACACTATCATTGTAGTTCAGTGTGATTGTATTTTTTCTGTGTTTGTAGTTAACCTGCAGTGCAGTAAGAGGGTGGACGATGACCGACAGAGTGTTATAGTCAGCTGCAGACACGACAGAGAGCTTGTTGATGCCCGGTGCTCTATCAACAATGCTCCACCTCAGCAATGTACTATGCCACCCTATACTCACACAGAAGCTATCACTTGTGTACTATGTACTATAGGCACACTACCGTGGAAGGTGGCTTTCACACTGCCTACAAAAGTGTATGACCTTCAGATCAGTGTGACTGACACTCTCCAACTGAATGACACAGCTCAACTCGAACACACAGGTTGTCCACTGCATTGATCTGTACACATGCCGGTTTTATGTGGTTTTCTGTCATTCAGTTGGTCCCTAGTATTGGACTGCTCACTCAATCCTCAGATGGAGAGCCGAGTGCTTGTCAGCAATCAACTGGACCTTAATCAGCACCGTCTGTTCTCGAGGGAACACCATCATGAGACACTGTGAAATCTCCGTTTCTCTTTCAAACTGTCGCCATTTCACACTCATACCGAATCTCTACAGGTAGTACTTACTCATATAGACTTGCTGTGCAAGGGTGGCCACTTGGTACCACACGTAATACACATGTCTAAGCTACCGATGGTTTGGATCTCGGCTGTAGGCAGCTTTGCGTACAGCGGTGAGGTTTTATGCAAGAGGGTGTGCAAATTTATTATGACTGTGTGGAGGCACAAAAAATAACTATGAGGAGAAGGCAAGGCACAACGGATTCGAACACGGACACCTCTGCAGCTAGGCGAGCGCTCTACAACTGAGTTACCAGGCACTCGGCTGTAGGGGTGGAACTCCAACACAACACAGCACAAGGCGAACCTCAAACCACTGTGTTATGGCACAGTATAAAACCTGGGTGCCTCTCTCTCAACAAAGTTCAGCATGTTACACTCATTGATTTCCATGGACCCAGCCTGTACAGTTCTATCAAGTGTTTTTGCAGACATTTGCAGGGACGATAATGTAGCTTACATAAAGAGTTCAACAGGGCAGATGGTATCGGGGAAAGAATTTTCCAACAACTCCAGTCTTCCCTCATGTTTAGACAATGTGATGATAACTTAGATCTTGCATAGTAGTAATTGTACAAGTAAATTAAAAATCCTGCGATTTAAAAAAGAGGCATATAGGGATGAAAGGGAGACAAGATAGGGATGGGATACGTGAAGCATGGTTAATGAACAGATTTGAGTACGCTGACACCCCCAACCCCATCACACAATCCCTATATTGTTGCCTAGGTGAAGTATTAAACAATACGCAATACACTACTGAGTAACCAACACCCTTATAGAGTCCAAGTGGAGTTGGAATGTGGCAGTATAATATAATAATACTCAGGTGGCTGCCATAGCACTAGGGCCATAGACCACGCACCCAGAGCAATGGGCGGAACTGTTAGCAAACAAACATACACCATATGAACATGAGCTGTCTGTCTCACCTCCCAGACACCTCAACTCACCCCTTCCACCAGGGGTCTGTCTGTCTGTCTGTCTGTGTGTGTGTGTCTGTCATGGAAACCCCCATGCAGAATATCTTTCTTGCACTGCTACTGGATTGTCAGAAGTAGCTATAAATTGCAGTGTAGTTGGACCAGACACCTCTCTACAGTGTTCATTTAGTGGTGGACCACTTCACTCATGTAAGTAGTATATTCCTATCTAATGCACACCCAATCCAGCATAGCCAATGGGCATTAGCATATGAACATGTGCCTCAAGTGTTTCAAATTGACAAACGTGATTTGATGTAGTTGCAGCTACTTTGGTATTGGATTAAAGAAGTCAGAAAGTCATTCACAACCCCATCCCTTTGTTTTGACATGTCGTCATAGACAGTTAAATCAGACCTGCTCTGCATAACATTTACGAACAAAAGAACTGAACGAAGATAGAGATGGAGTTATGAACGACTTTCTGTCTCGCTGTAGGTGTATTAATGTTCCCCTTCTTTTACATCCCTATAGTACAAACACTTTAGACAAGAATCTTTACAAAATTCTAGGTAACGTACCAATTCTACTGACAAGTAATGTCAGTCCTCCTGGTAGCCAGTTTAACGTGACAATATTGGCAAGTACTGGAGGCGAGGACACTGTGACGTACAACATAACAAACACCGAAACTAATGGTGAGTGTAATTTATGTAGACTATCCACTTTCATCTGAAACTTGCTTCTTTGAGTAGCTATAGCTGCTTTATCACCATGGTGGTTCCTGAGCATACCAAAATTGTTTCACCCGAAACTTTGATGTATTGCAGTAATTAATTTAACCCTCGGCCGCGTGCATGTGCAGCGAGGGTTACAGTAGTCGTTCTGTCTGTCTCTGTATGTACTACACAGTTACGAGGCGGCCCATGAGCGATACCAACGGCTTCAGAACTATGCCAACCCAAAATGGCGATTTTCCTGAAACGACTGCATATGGCGTGAAAACAAGCGAAAATTCCTAATTATGCACGTGTATATATACGAGCGATCGATCGCGCACGCACGCACCCAGCCCCGCTACGCGCACGCGTAGCGTCTCACTGTGTTTTGCCGGACTGGCTTGCCTACCTAGACCTGATCCGCTTGCTCTGTGTACCTTGGAGGCACAAGAAGCCACAGCGAAGGGTGTGTATCGACTCCAGCATGCTATCTACTACTGTAGCTAGCCCGTGTAAGACTCTTCGCGAGCTACTGCGGTGTAAATAGGCCCAGCCCATCACTTAATTAGCGGTACCGCGCATGCGCAGTTCGCCGAGGGTTTGCACTTTAGTGCTTTTCATTTTCTCAGTGTCAGCCAGCGTGCCTCCACTGGAGGTCATTCTAACTGGTGGTTCACCTCGTGTGACTGAGAGCTCTGTGGAGGCAGAGTTTGTAACCACCAGACCAGTGACTGGAGTGAGGTGCTTCCTCAGATATGAGAACAAGAATGGACTACAAAGACTGTGAGCATAATTAATTAGTTGTTAAAATATCTTTCACTTTTGTACATCGTATGCGCCTCTGTGCTATTATCATAGGTTCTTCTGGCAGTGTGTCCTTCACAGGACTGAAGCCTGGACGCTATGTCCTAAAGATCTTTGCCTACAACAAGCTAACTGATGTGGCAGTCTCTCAAGAGAGTGGTTAATATATAATCTTTTAACAGAGTGGATACTGCTGCAGTACTGTGTGGTAGTTTTGTCTATAGGTTGCAGAGAACAAAAAATGTTTTTTTTTATATGCATATCAATAAACATAAGCATTAGTTAAGTTGAGTCGTCCTCACCATAAAACATCGGACGCTCGACATTACTCATTTGGGGTACACGGGAGACACAATTGAACTACTGCGGGTCGACGGATTCTGGTACGAATATCTCAGAATAAGTCAGGTGGTGGAGGGAGGGGATGATGAGCATAGAGTCCAGCTGTATCTCCCTCGTTGCTCAGATGTCGAAATACACGAAACATCCAGTGACTACGTGAGCCCATATCATCAGCACTCGCAGAAAAGTCGGCAGATGGGTGCGATGCAACACGTCTATCTTTTATCCGGGAGCTCAGTGAGTTACACGTTCTGTATGCAATCCAATGAGACAGCAGATACATCAAAGGCCATGTTCTTCGTGTTCAACGACCGGGCGAAGTATACGGAATACAGAGACGGAAATGGCAAAAAATCGGTTTTTCAGTATATAAGTACAAGTTAGCTGTCGGTTCATCAGACCAGTCCCCCATTTGCTCTACATTTACATTCACCGCGAAAAAGAGCAGCTACTATTTCATGGCTGGGCAGTGCAACGGAGGTGTAACCTATCACTACAACGTCACTCTCAACACCAAGTTTCTCAATTTCAAAGACTACAGAGAGAACAAGTCTTGCTCAGCTCTGACCGTCAATCACGACTGCGAAATACCAGTTGGAACCCAGTTTCTCTCAAAGTCGGAAAAATACTGTCTTCTCGCTCATATCATACCTCGTAAAGGACGGAGCAAGTTGTCGCCAACCACTCACCTGAGGGTTAGTGCTGGGAAAAGAGGAGAGGTGGTGGCGATACCGGTAATGGTGATTGCGGTGGGTGTGGCCGGCCTCCTGGTCGTCGTGGTGACGTACTGCTGCTGTTGTTGCAAGAAGTGTTGTTTGGGTCATAGACCAATTATTAGGGGGAGGCGGTATACCCTCATTAGCGTGTGAAATAAATATTAATTTTTTTGCAGTTAGAATTTGTTTTGTATAATATTTGTGAGATTTTCATCATGTAAAATTGATCACAGCCGTAGTGTTACTGCGCATGCGCTAATAAATAATTTCGGTGGGGGCGGCGTGCGCACGCGTGCAGTGCAGTGGCATTCGTCATTTTTCTGCCTCTGCGAGCTGCTATGGCCCGTCTCGGTCAGGGATCCGCGTTGGCGCTGGTTTTCCTCGTTCTCTTTTGCAGCGCCACCGTCGTTTTTTCCCAGTGTAACACTCAGGGCGTTGACAGGACGCTGGAAGACGGAGCCGACGGTGACGATGTAGTAAAGGCGACGGCAGACAAGATACGAGACTCCGGGATATTCGGCGACGACCACGATTTTCTCCGACGAATGGCCAAAGTGGAATCGGACAACGGAAGAGATGTGGGTCTGGGGGGAATATGGAGGGTCGACTCAGGAACTTTCAAGGACATGGATGAATTCATATTGTCGCAACAAGAGACCCCTACCCTGCAATCTCAATTCGAAGAACATTTTTGCTTTTCTTGGTCTGCAAATGTTACACCTAGGAAATACAGTGCGATGGATGTTCCATTGTACTCCGCACTGACAGTGATGGTTTATTTGAGCTCAATTGGGCAAAGTATTCCCCAGGACACAGAGGACCAGGCTGATTTTTGGACCAAGCATCTGAACAGAAATGGGGTTGAACAAGAGTTTATCAGTATTTCAAAGTCATTAAGAGGTAATAAAATTCCTATCATAAAATATATTTCACTGAGTTGTACCAACCATAGATGCAGACCGCGAGTGCCGAATAAAAGGAGTGGACATGGTGTTTGTGATGGATGAGTCGGGAAGTGTTAGAGCAAGTAATTTCGAAAAGATGAAGCAGCTGGCAATTGATATTACAGACAGTTTTGAAATCAAGCCTGATCGCACACGAGTTGCCTGGATTAGCTTCGCGACATCTGCTCGGGTGGTATTCAACCTGACCGCTTATTCCACCAAGGACACGCTTCACGATGCAATTCGTGGTATTATTTACGGGAGTGGAAACACTGCAATTGGGAGAGGGTTGGAGACTCTGCGTACAGAAGGATTTGTTGGTGGTCGCAACAGCTTTGATACGCCCGAGGTTGCTATTGTAGTTACTGACGGGCAGACAAATGCGGGAATTAACACAAGTACTGCTGCAGGTAACTTGCGTGAAGAGAGAAATGTGAATGTGTTTGCGGTGGGAGTAGGGACAGGGGTAAATACTGCTGAACTGGCAATAATTGCTTCAGCTGGAATTGAAAACACACAGGATCACACGCAGCATATAGATGGCTTCATAAACAATCAACTTAACACACTCCAGCAGCTAATCAGGGCCCGCACTTGTTTTGGTAAGTCTCACATACAACCGTTTTCTCCTTTTATGACCACTATTGCTATTACAGATGCTATGTTTTCTAACCATGATCAATCATTTGAAAGGCTGAATGCGGCCAAGGTGAAAATATCACAGGGAGTAACGGTTCATGTTGCTGTCGAATGCCCATGGGAGGACTCACTGTCAATGCATGTGGACGCACAGGAAATACTATTCTCTACTTCTCACGGTCGAGTAATCCCAACAGCGCTAACTATGAAATTATCTTTACCATAATGGCCGGGCGAATGCCGTAATACCTACATTGACTGTGGTCCCATGAGTTCCGGCAGGCGCAGACGGCAGGCAGCAGACTCAAGGATCTTTATGACAGTAGAGGGGATCGCAGAGACCAATGAGTACAACTTGACGGCAATGACTGGGGATTTTTCCACTCCGCAAGGCATGTGCCAGCCATGCACTGTATGATTGTAAGATAGGGCTTGCTATACTATCGTTGTATATAATTCCATTGTACTTATACTTTTTTCTGTGTTTGTAGTTAACCTGCAGTGCAGTAAGAGGGTGGACGATGACCGACAGAGCGTTGTCGTCAGCTGTAGACATGACAGAGAGCTTGTTGATGCCCGGTGCTCTATCAACAATGCTCCACCACAGCAATGTACTATGCCACCCTCTCTCACACAGAAGCTATCACTTATGTACTCTGTATTATAGGCACACTACCATGGAAGGTTGCTTTCACACCGCCTACAAAAGTGTATGACCTTCAGATCAGTGTGACTGACACTCTCCAACTGAATGACACAGCTCAACTCGAACACACAGGTTGTCCACTGCATTGATCTGTACACATGCCGGTTTTATGTGGTTTATCTGTCATTCAGTTGGTCCCCTAGTATTGGACTGCTCACTCAATCCACAGATGGAGATCGAATGCTTGTCCAGCAATCAACTGGACCTTAATCAGACCGTCTGTTCCTTCAGAGGGAACACCATAGACCACTGTAAATATTCGTTCTCTTTAAAACTGTCACCATTTCAAACTCATACCTTAATCTCTACAGGTATACTTCCATATAAGATTGATGTGAAAGGGTGGCCACTTGGTACACACATAATACACGTGTCAGCTACCGATGTGTTTGGATCCTCGGCTGAGGCAGCTTTTGAGTACATCGGTGAGGTTTATGCAAGAGGGTGCAAATTTAGTATGACTGCGGGAGGCAACATAATACACGTGAAACCTGGGTGCCTCTCTCTCTCAACAAAGTTCAGCACGTCAAACTCAGTGACCCAGCCTGTACAGTTCTATTGTAGTACAAGTGTTTTTACAGACATTATGCATGATAATGTAGCTTACATAAAGAGTTCGACAGGGCAGATGGTATCGGGGAAAGAATTTTCCAACCACTCCAGTCTTCCCCCATGTTTAGACAATGTGATGAAATGTAGATCTTGCATAATAGTTATTATACTGTACGAGAGACACACTCTAATCGTACTATATATATATAATCAGAACAGATGCTCACTTAGTAAGATTGCGCAAACTGAATGGCAGAATATTAAGAGTTGTATATGGTATCTTAGGGCACGTAACAAGGTCTTCACTATTATGATTGGACAGAAGCTTATTCTCCTCAGTCTGAGATACCATGAAGGTGGTATATTATCTAGAGTCGAGTTTACTGCCCCCTATCCTGGTGCGCATGCGCAGCGAGGGTTACGGTATTTGGTTTGTCTGTGTGTGTGTGTGTCGACGCTTATTCTGGCACTACAGGCTACGAGGGCCAATTAGCGATACCAGCGGATTCAGAACTACGCGAGCCTGAAAAACAAAAGGCGTTTTTCCTGAAACGACTGCGTTGCGCATGGACCTGATTCGCTCGCTCTGTGTACCCTGGAGGCTCAGGAAGTCACAACGAACGGCATGTATCGACTCCCGCTACTACCGTAGCTAGCCCGTGTCAGACTCTCCGCGCGCCAAGCGGGAGACCACGAGCAAACGCTAATAGCCCAGCCCATCAATTAGCAGTATCGCGCATGCGCAGTTCGCCGAGGGTTTACATTTTATAATGCTCTGTTATTTTGCAGTTGTCGCAGACAGGGTGGGGGATGACATGGTCTTTAGTACTGTACTGGACATCAGCCCGATAGAGGTGGGAGTCAATGATCAAACTGTCTCGCTGTGCTACCAAGTCCACGGAGAAAAAGAAAAGTTTTACAATCTTGTCAGTGATGATTGTCTCTCAGTCAATGCCCACGTAACCCAGCCCGTCTCCGGAGTTAAATCACACGTGATCGACAAGATTGGCATCCGTGCCATTGGAAACAACGCAACGTATTGCTACGATATCGGAATTACTCGTGAAAACTGTGCAGTTACTGTAAATGGGAATCCTATTTCTGTTAACGAGAAGTTTACAGCGGAAGGAATCGAGGTCTTCAACGACAGAATGATTGCCAGAAATCCAAACGTCATTCGTATTTCGGTTCCAAATTGCGGGAGGGCATTAGTCGATGCGATGCAAATCACCTGCACTGAGTACAACATGAGAGTCTCTCGCATGGAAACCGAACCAGTCGAAGTCCTCGAACTCACCACCACGCGAGGAATTTCACCAATTGAAGCGGCGCATGGCTTAGTTGGTAAGTTGATCACACTGGTTTCAGTGCATCTAGCTTTCAATTTGATCTCTTCCCACTTCTATCCATCTTTCCTAACCCATAAAAGGGCAGTACAAAAAGGCTAAATTAAAGTTACTACAAACGGAAACGCTTCTCACTGGGCCCTATTGTTTAGTCCCATCTTTAGTAACGTTTCTAAATTTAGCCGCTATATTTACACAATTCCTTTTAAATTCCACTTCCAGGTCAGTTCTGGGGCAGATTCATGCTGGGAAGGTCACAGTCCCCACTCCCATCACCACGACAGCGATACGACAAGGCAGTGATGATATTCCACGATGCAACGCTCCAACGATTCGATGGATTCGTACGCAGGAGCTGGTCTCACAGCAGGGAGATGTGCTTCTACGCTGGGGACAGGCAGGGCTATCCTGTACTACAGGGAGAATATGGGGATTATGAGGTGGAAACCATGTTTGGTACTGAGTATCCCTTCTCGAGGTTCAAAGAAGACATGTGCATGAGCGAAGAGAGTTCTATGTGATGAAGGATAAAGATGAGATTGCAATAACAGACTATATAACTAAACTTTCCTGACTTTTTTACAATGTAATGGACTATTATAAAATTCTGCATTATTTTTGCTATTGTACAGCATAACAATGAAATATTTTGCACATAGCCAAGAAAAATGAAGAATTATACATGTGAATTAACAGTAGGTTAGCATATTAGTAAGCATTTAGGTTGAGTATAATAATTATAGAGATAAGTTTTAATAATCTGTGGAATCTTTTCCTGTTGTCATTCACACACACACACACATACACACGATACAAAACGGGTGACTGATTACGGGGACAAACAAATCAACTAAACATTGATGGGCTTGATGCAAAGATACCCCTTCCTTCTCTTGATGCTGTTTGCGAAACTGACAATCTGACACACCAGTACAACCACCAGCAGCATCAGAACAAACCCAGACAGCACTCCAGGTATGACTGTCACAAGAATTGACTGTTTCGTGGTCACGCAGAGGTGTGTTGAATTCGGGGCAATGTCCGAAGACTGAAAAGGAATATATGCGAGAATGGTATAGTCTTCAGTCGAGAAGGTGTTTTCGGGGATTGGGATCTCGCACGATCCACCGGCTGCTAAATTGCACTCCATCCGCTCTTTCGGCAGGTACTTGGTATAGTTGAGGTAAACTACGTGAATGTTGGAGTGATAGTGCAGCTCTACGTGTGGCGGTAGTTTGTACATTGTGAAGTAGTAATCCGCTTTCGAGACGCGGAAAGTGACGTTTGTGCATTTCGGCCCTTGACCAATGTCGGGGATGAGTGTCTCTTGGTAGAATATCGCTGCATCTTTGCCTGAATTCCCTGACTGGTGGATGTAGTTGGCGAAGCTCATGATGTCGTTGAAAATCAGAAACTCGCTGAATAATTGAAAATGGGCGAGATTCAGATGACTCACATTAGTCGTGAGGCAAAATTGATATTCGACAATCGACCCTGCCAACAAGTATAGAGGACCGTTCAACGTCTTGAGCAGTGGGCTGTTTTGATAGCCTTCGACTTCATCGTTTACCACATTCTCTTCGAAATAGACGACGTCGTCGCTATCTACGAGTTGTATATTACTCACAGTTCTATTGAAGTGATTGTCGCCATTGGAAACCCCGCCCCCTGAACAGTCGCTGATCTCCCAACCCTTACACCAAACACTGCGCTGCGTGTCCAAGTAAACTGTCGTGGACTCGAAAGTCTCGATTTCCTTAGTTCTCTCTGGTTTTGTCTCCAGAAGGCCGACTGCTAGGGCCACAGCGCTGACTAGGAACACTAGGAGAGGCACGTAGAGCAGTAGCCACTTCCAGTGGAAGTGATGTATGCAGAATCTCTGACCATCTGCAGGGTGGGTGACAAGTATAGATGATGACTTTCGCCTTCACTCAAATACAGACACAAGGAAACTTCCCCACTTTAGCTATAAAGAGAACAGCACGTTGGTGTTGATTGCCAAAACACACCAAGGCAAGTGACTAAATAATTATGATAAAGTAAGAAGTCGTGTATATAGCTACATTAAAGACTTATGAACCAGATACTAATAAGACACCCGTTTATATAGATTTGCGGAAACTGAAAGTAAACTTATGCCTTCCGAAAAATAACTTTCATTTTTCATCTGCGGTCCTCTCTAAAATGAGAATTGTACGCTGCAAAGAAAACGAAACTGCACACTTTATGTTCTATGCAAGCAGTTTAGAATTTGCATCTGTTTTTTTTTTCATGAGAAGTAAAAGGACGCAGTAAAATCCCTGAACGATTGCCTAATGACTACTCGTGTAGCTTCACAAATGATAGGCACCATAGGTCATACCCTAGACCTAGCCCTAGCCCTATCAAAGAAGACAGTAGGGGCACAAATTGATACACAGTTTCAATGACAGTAAATGGAAGACGTTGGGAGGTGAGAAGGTATGACACGCGCCATAGTCGGCAGTGGTTGAATGGTCTCAATGGATCTGGTGTATGTACTCGCTACAAGAGGTGATGAAAGAGCCAATGTTGCTAAACTCGCAATCACATGACTTGCATCACAGGGAAACAGTGCATCAGATAAACAATGTTCCCTCTATAAGATCTATTTATTACCCTCCCTGTTCTTCAGTTCAGCCTCTTACACATGGGAGTAAACAGCAAAGGACTTCGGAATCAATATTTTTCCCCAGTCTTTCTCCCACCATTACACTGTTTAGTCAACTACAAACGCTGTTGGACATTTTCCCATCTTTTCTCCTATCATTTTACTGCTCAGTCCACTATAGTACACAGCTGTAAAACATCAAAAGGCTGTTGTAATCAAGAATGGATGGAGCTCTTGGCAATAGACACATTCTCTACACAGCTTGCAACCCTCAGCAACACTGTCAATTACTCTTTACTACAGCAATCAGTACACATGCATAATACACAATACTGACTAACAGTATTACTTCATCAAAACTGGCTCCCCACACAAAATTAGCAAGAATTAACCAAGAGACCTTTTACTAATCATCCATCATTATTGAGCACAACTATAATAGCTTCACGCAAATCCCAAGGGAGGATTCACACTTGGCTCTACTGCCTATCTCTTCATGTGCTTGTTACTTTACACTATCTACATCCTTCTCCCTTTCTAGTATATACTCCCTCCTTTGCCCTCTCTCTTTCCTCTCTCTCGTCCCCTCTCTCCTCTTCCCTTCCCTCGCCCCCTCTCTCCTCTCCTCTCTCTTTCTCATTTGCCCCCCATCACACGCTCAGCTCTTCTAACTATTGTCTACCTTTTCCAGTAGGCTCAATAAGATCAATACTCCCATAGACTTTCAGTGGAACTCCAGTAGAATTAGGAACAGAGAGGGACATTCCGCTCTCCTCCAATTCTCCAACTTTCCCGTCCGCTGAGGTCTCGCTGTCCAGAGTGGTCACCGTCATTAGAGAACACGTGGTCCATAGACTGTCTTGGTGCTCCGATATTAGCTCCAGGAACTCGTGCCGCGGACCAAGATGCTGAGATACGGCGGACGCCAGCGCCGTCCACATCTCTCCCTTGGACCCGCCGTGAAAGTTCCCGCATGCTTCCAAGAGCCGTTTGAGCGACGTCACGCGGGATTTGATCCACTCGTTCTCGCTGATCTCCGCCAGAGGTTTCGCTAGCTTGGGCGACGACTGGAGGAGGCATTTCCTCACCAGTAGCCATCTCTCCGTCTCCTCGGCTGGACTCAGAGAAGTCGGTTCGTTGTTCGTACCGTTCTGTGCAGCGGCGTGTGAGCGACCCGTAGGGCTAGTAGAGCTGCTAATGTTCAGTTCCCCGCTCGTTCCGTCCATCGCAAACTGTCAAAGCGCGCGAGATCAACGCGGAACCTCGTTTCCAACTGCGCATGCGTTTGGGTGGAACTTCCGCGTTGCATAATGATAATGATGGGCGAGCCCTCGGACAAGCCGATCACGGACGTCTGCCTTCTGGCAGAGAAGGAGAAAGTGTCATCAGGGTACACAGTGGTAAGTACCAGTAGCCTTTATAAACCACGGAGTCCTGTGAACGTGACAATCAAGTTTGGACGGCCTAGATTGAGTTGACTGAGGATGGAAAGAAGGCGGACTTTGCTGAGGGTTCCACCACGCGTTACCTGGCCTATACTAGGAAAGTTCTATCGGGAGCCAGAGTGAGTATCCGTATGTCTTTTGGAAACTAACGCCACCATGTTACCAAACTCCAGGGTGACCTAACAGTGGTAGACATTTTCGTCATACCTAGTAATGAGCGTTCTACTCTGGACCAGGGCTACGTCCCTCTTGATAATACATACGACGACGGTGAGTAGATTGCCACTGACCCTATCATTAGTTGGTTCATGTTGTTTCTGTGTGGTATTTCAGACACAATTGCATTTTCTGACAAGTCACTTGTGCTCATGCTGGCTGATGCTCCAGAGGCCGGGAAGGTGATCATGGCAGTGAAAGATATAGTTATTGTCAGTGCCTCCATGAAGATCGGCGTCCCACCTGACTTCACCAGACTACAGTTAGACTGTTTAAAACTCATTGGGGCTGTATTAGACACAATAGTACTGTGCGCATAATAGCACGTCTAGGTTTGATTTTCTCGTAAAACGAGTAAGTTGTCGTGTGTTAGTAACGTATTGACCAATCTCCGTATTTAGCTCGGCCCCAATCGTTTTTGGCCTACTTTAGTTTTGCTCACTCCCTACTCCATTCTCACTCCTGTCATTAGGGAAATCAATGGATTCTGCATATGTTTCAAATTGGGAGAATTTGGAGGGAGAAATTCTGCACCAGCACATTTGACGCAGACTGGGTAAGTAAGCAGTATGTTGTTAAAGATATCAAACTAATACAAGTGTCGTTTTTTTATTGAAGTGAGTCTTCTACTCCTGACTCTGTGTCCGTAGTTTCTCCGGCCTCTATCAGCTCTAGTGGTGAGTCCTTCTTTTCTTTCACACCCTTCATTTCACCTCTTCTCCTGTTTTATAGGTTCTGCAAACACTCCCTCCTCTTCTTCCGTCGTCCCTCCTACCAGAAGCTCTTCTATCGCAGATCTTGCCTCAGGCCACTTTCAGATCAATAAATGCCTGTTTGAGGTGGGCAGGAGGCTGGGATGGGAGGAGTTCCTATTATTAAAAACTCTGTATATAGAGACACTATGTCTGAGGATCCTCTCTCGTGTGAATACACTACAGGAGGTCTATCGGCATTCCATCGAGAACGAAATTGGTGCAATTCGTAGAGACGGTCTTATAAAAGAGAATATGAGACTCTCTCGCCAAGAGTCGCTGGCACTCTTAGCATACAGGCTCCAGATTCTCATCCCCACATCTGAAGTTTTGACAAAGAAAGACACCAGAAACATGGGGGCCAAAGATGCCATCTCGAGCCTGCAGAATCTGTTGGGTACACTACCAACTGTCGAAGAGATAGAAATTTCCAAAGAGTCGAGGCTGGTAGAATGCCTTGTGAAATGCTATGTTAATATGACATCTAAACAGCGCAATGAGCGGAAGCAATGCTTTGCAACATGTTTAGGGTTAAATGCAGAAACAGCAACAGTTTTTGAAATGTTTGTTGATCAATTTATGCGACCCCCTGAAGAAGTCGTGATGATGTTTACAAGTTCAATGAGGCAGGCACAATGCCACAGATCTGCATATATTGAGCTCCAAGAAAACCTGCAGAAACACAGCATACCTCACCAGGAAATACACATACCTGGTGTGTTTATTGCGTAATGATTTACGTGATAATATTAATCATAGACAGCCCATGACTAGATATAGAGCATACTCAGGGGTATTTGAATTGTGCACATATAGGACATACCTCTAATTCCTGCTACATACATTTTAAGGGTGATGTGTATATAGATGTACGCTGCAGTTAGTATAATTCTATACTCCCCAGATGATGATGAGGATGATATCGGTAGCCAGCCCACTCTTCCACATCTAATTCGCCTTAAAGTCCCTCAGGAAGTTGGGCCACACTACACCGCATTCGGAGTCCCTCCTCCTCAACGATAAGACTGGGAGTAGAGTCTTGGCCCTAAAGAAGGAGTGTCAGGGTGTGGCTGATGATGTAATGTGGAGAATCCTGCAGGAGTGGCTGGAGGGGAAAGGGACTGCCTGTGAAGTGGGAGACACTTGTCAAGACACTCGGAGACATTGGACTCTCGGCTCTAGCTAAGCGACTTCAAACCAAGTTAAAGCTATGATTTGACGTAAAATGTGCTGTGAATAAGTAATGATGCCTCTTTGAGATCGAGACGGGTCCACGTAGGCGCATGCGCACTTCAGGGCCGTCCGCGCTCTAATAGGCTCATCAAAACGCTTGCATCGTGCAGTTGGCAACATACGCAAATCGCTCACGCTCGTAATCCCGGCAAACAGTATCACTGAGCGGCTCCAACTTCGCTTTGGCCTTGGGTGCGCCCCTTGAATCTTGCTCAACAAACCAATAGCTAATCCAAGTCACGCGCTTGCCGTGAATACCATTGACTCAAAAAAACTCAGAGTTAGCTAGCTAGCTACGTATGGCTATAATCGACGTCATCGCCTCCACGATCGCTTTAATTCTCTTGGCCCTTATACCTGTATCATATTACTATTCCGAGGAGGATTATGAGACATTGTACTTCTCTCTGACGCTGTCATTGGACGTCCCTATCAAGGCGGAGGATGCTGATAAAATTTTTGCGCACCTTCAGCAGGCAAGTTCAAGAGCCACCGTTTCACGCACTAGCTACTAGAGCTGACGGTTCCGCGTCGTGTTCATAAGTACCTAGCTCTACGCTAGAGGACCTTGACTCCATATAACACCAAAAGAGGCACTTGGCTTTTGGACTAGGTGTCATAATCATCTGGGCTGTAGGCATTTGGTGAATTTACATTTGAGAGCCAGTCCAGTATCCATGCAAACCATACTTTCAAAAGAGTGCAAACCAAAGAGTGCAAGTCATACTTTTCCAAAGAGTGTCGCTTTTGTCCTATGTAAAATGCCTGGTTTCGGCATATAATACACAATCACAGATTTCAGAGCGCCACGCACTTCATAGATATCTTCCTTTAAAACAATGGCTCAAAAATGTAGCTATAATCTCTCTCTAATTCAGCCATGTATAAAAGGTGTTGAGGACCCCAGCATTGTATGGGTACTCACAATCAACGGCATGGCCTACTCAAAGTCACGGATGGGTAAAGAATGTCAAAAAGGCTGAGAGACTGTGGTGGTTGTGGAAAAGATTTGGGCAATGGACCTACAAGCACAACTATAGCCAGTGTCCTTGCATGGGGCAATTATTTCAAAAATGATCCACCAACTTATTGGATGAGGACCACAGTTTGCAATGCTATCAATGCGGCAAACTCTTCAATTCTTGAAGAATCCCAGTGAGTTTATGTCATAATGTATACCCACTAAAAATGTTGATTCGTGTTCTTTCTTTGCATCCAGCTTCATCTTTGTCCTCGAGAAAGGGAATGAAGTACCTAGCTACATAGTTAGATCTCGCCAATAGCTATAATTGACTTTCACTGTTGTGTGTTGTTGAGAATGCATAGCTACATGCAAGCAAACCCATGAGAGTAGCTAGATAAACGATTATGCTGTTATTAACCCTCGGTGTGCATGCGCAGTATGGCTATTACCGCTTCGTTATAGCTACATAGCAAATTCCCATTCCACCATCCCTGCAGTCATTGAAGAACGGACAGACGGAATGGACTTGTACCATAAACCCTCAAATAAATACAGTCTGTATACTGTACAGACTGTAGCTAATGGGCTAAAACTTTTGGTTAACTGATAAAAATAATCACATGCATGCATTTACACATTGTAAAACACACAAACAGCACACTATTCTAAAGTCTGATATGTTTCGCTTTTTCGTTTATTCAAGCCAAAGTAGCAACAGCAGACAAAAGTTACAGCGATTGCTTCACAGATAAGCAGTACGCTTACACCCACTGCTGGAATAGCATATATCAAAGGTCTGCGGTGTTGGCTGACCGTCATACATCCCTCAAACCCTGCAGTGTATGAACCGAGTCTTGAAATATCTGCAACAAGCACGTACTCCTTTGCTTCAGCCATACTTTGAAAAGAAGAATCGTTAAAAACTGTTACGAGATTTGACGAACCCACAGATGTGCCAACTGAAGCTTTCCCTATCCACTTGCTGCTGTTTAAAAACCGTATCGTGCCTTTTGCACTGAAAATATCAATTTTCGCATCGATGCAATCTGACTTAACTTCAAAATAGCCATTTGAACGTGCTTTAAACCTACATGGGAAGGAGTTGGTTTTATTTGGTTCAACAGGGACACGGCAGCTCTGGGCTCGGGTAGATGAGGCAAAGTCAAACTGTACATAGCCTGATTTGTGGTAGTCGGTAGAGCTGATATTTACTGTAAAAGTAATGGTTGATCCCTCCAAAACGTAGATTTCTATATCATTACCGGTAGTACCAATCCATGATGCCGTGGAAGTGTATATGTACCTATGTACACCATTAGCAGGAAACACATAGTAGGTCAGATTTTGGCGATAATACGAATCGAAATGCTGCTGTTTTACGGTTACTAATTTAGACGAAAAAGTGTTGAATTGTGTAACAATTATTGGAGCAATCGAATTATTCAAAGGGCCGTGTGTCTGACTGCAGCTGGAATCCTTCCTATTGATGACATCCTCGAGGGGTGTTTGTTTTACAATAACTCCCGTTGCAATTGCGCAAGCAATCAGCTGTACTAACACCAGCAAACACAAACCAGTAAAAAATAGGACTCTCTTTATCGTGTGACTCCGATACCTATTTCTGTCATTTTCTGAAAAAGAAGTAATCATATAGGGCATAGAAGAATATATTAGTAATGGGCTAACCAATTATATTTGTAATGCCTTCCTGCATCCTTTCATTGATAACAGGTTCAGGAGAAGGATCTCTCTCTATAAAGAGAAAATGAAAGAGCACAAAGCCTCGGCGGAATTAGCGTGCACATGCGTGGGCCAGTAGCAGTACCGCTGAATTGACGGACTACACTGGTAATGTGCTATTCTAGAGGCGGGAACGGTTGACTTTACGTAATACAGTTAACAGAGAAATGTATGGGGACGAAGAAGACACGGATTTCATTGCCTTACCCCACGATAATCTGTTTATATACAGGTCATTTGAAAGCGCCTATCTATACAGTGGATTAGATTCCAGACATCCAGTCATCGTAGTACCACTGCCTTTACGTGGAAGTATTTGCTCTTGAAGCCAGCAGATACTTCGTAGCTAAACACCAACATTGGGCAAAAAGCATTACGTCTCATGTCTCCTATGGATTTGCATAGGGTATTATACTGCAGTTGAAGCATACTGGAAGAGAGTTAACCGAGTACCGTAGTCAAGAAGTTCACGGCTCTTGTTCTAATAAGTAAGTGGAGTTAACAATCATAATATGTAAACAATCTGGCATCTGCACATGCAAAGGTGTTTTGGCACTTTTGCCTCACATGGAAGGATAATACTACGTGTCAATAGTGCTGATCAATCTTAGCTATTGTTCAAAATGGTCATGTGACGCTAGGTGCCCGAGGTATACACACTATTTTAGTTTACTTTTCAAACACTATGAGCTTCTAGCTAATGTATGGTTCGACTAACCTGGTAGGTTTATTTCAGAGTGGAGTATGTTGTATTGGAGCAAACAATCTCGGAGATCTTCATAAGAAGCTCTGCCACACCGGGCCGATTGCATTGAAAAAGTGAACTTTGCAACGATTCCTTGTGGGTCATAGTTTGACCTTTGTTTAATAAATAACTCGGCAAAGACATCAAATATAGTTGCAACCTCGACATTTAACCCCAGACATTCCGCCAGTTTTTCCTTTATTTTACAGCGCTGCGCAGAACTCAGATTCACATAACACTTTACAAGGCACTCCATCAGCCTTGATTCGGTGGGAAAATGGACCCCTTCCACACTTGGCAGCACACCCAATAGGCTCTCGAGGCTAGAGATGCAAACTTTGCCCCCCAAATTTCGCTCGTCTTCCTTGCTTAGTCTACCTTTAACTGGGACGAGCAATTGAAGCCTGTGGACAAACAGGGCCAGTGATTGTTGGGGAGTAAGTGGTTCTCGAACGTAACCATCTCCGATAGCGCTATGGGTCGCTACGTCTCGCTCTAACGGCAAATCGTATAGAAGATGCGCGTGGTCCTGCGGTTCCTTCACGTTGTCTTGCAGCACTCGCAGCGGCAGGGTCACGAGATAAAGACTTTTCAGGAGTTGGAACTCCTCCCGTCCCAGTTTTTTGCATACCTCGATCCACCACCGGAAGATGCCTGAATCGCTGGCACCAGCAAACTGACCCAGCTTGCGCGAGGACATTGCTGTGTTCGACGAGTGGTCCGGTGGTGGTGTTGCACTAGCGAGCGTACGTCGTTCGTGCGCATGCGTTACGTGTACGTCCCCCGCGGCCCGAGCGCCGGATATATGCGCATGCGCAAATCGCACTTATCTCGCGGAGCAGAAGTGGGTGGAAGAGAAGCTGCAACAGCAATGAGTGGTTCAACAAGTGAAGGGAAGGGAACTATCCAAACGAAAGAAATGGATAGACAAACGAACTGTAACCCTACAACAGGTACGTAGTAAAGATTACCTATAGCTAGCTATAGCTAGCTACGCGTCTTTTGCGGTCGTTGTTTGATGAACTACTCACTCCGCAGGTAATGAAAGACAGCGCGGCGGGTTTTCCACCAGCAACCTACTGCTAGTCGCAACTATCGTGACTGTACTGCTGGCGTCGCTCGCCCCCACCGTCAAGGAAAGCCTTCTTTCAGTCGTCGACTCCTTCACCTACATGGAGGCCTACATGGGAGACGGGATACTCATTGGAGACTCGGAAACCAATTTCCCGTTCTCCACCGTAAACTGGACAATCACCCAGGTACCTACGTACGGAAACTCTCGACACACGGTGTCCATCTTTGCCGTTCCCGAGCGAGTCGCTCGCCGACACATTTATCAGTTCAAGTCAAACCACACCTCTGATGGGTGTTATGAACCAGTAATACGGAATTATCAGTCGGTACGAGGTCGTACATTTACCTCTTGCCTCAGAGATACCTGAAACACAGTCAGTTTGAAGACAGCGAGGCACACTTTGAGTATGAGTTTCTTCCGTGTCATAACAAGCGAAACATGCAACCTCTTAGGACGTACCAGTTTCAGAGCCGCGAATTTTTCTCTGATTTTATCGACGGCGAACCGAGATCAGAAAAATAGAGCCGTGGGTTGCAACTGCATGCTAACAGCCGATCAAATCGAGGAAAAATGCCCAAAAAACAATCGGAAATGTGTCGAAAAACTCAACAAAGACGTCGGTTGTTCTGAAAATTGCCTACAACCAGGGCACAATAACTTTACGTCGGATACCAGCTCTTACAATTTTTTCTCCATCCAGGTTCCAAAGAACACCATGGTACGGTATCACATCAACGTTGAGATGTACTTTTACAATCATACCATGCTCGGAAAGTACTACATATGCACCATAAGGGGAACCGACGCCTGCCCATTTCAAACTTCTGGCTACATGAACAACCTTCCTTTCAAGCAAAAGGAAAGACACCTAATCATTGCTTACGTCCACCCCACCAGTTTGCCTGGGTTTTTCACGACACGACTTCTGGTGGAAGCAAAGATGCAAGTCGACTATATCACCACTATCGCGTTCCTGTGCGCCTGCGTAGTGTTCTTCATTATAAAACACTGCCTACAAGGAACGTTTGGATGCTGCAAAATGTTATATAGCTAGTGGAAGTAGGGAAAGTGTTTGTAGCTAGTTGTATATAGTAAAAGTGTGTGAATTACTCCAATTTTTTGCACTCAACGACTGTTCAATTGTTTAGCAACTCTATAGATGTACGTATAATATACTACGAAATGTGATTATTGTTGAGTAGAGGTTATCTACCCTGGTTTTCCCCTGCCAATACTAAATAAGGTGATAGTGAATATTATGTTAGACGAAGGTAATTATAGCTACACAGTGGGCGTAAAATTGCACCCAGCCCAAGGCTCCAACGCCGTGAAGAATTAGTAGAGATGATGGCTTACAGTAAATATGTCAGCTACCTAGTAGACGCCATTCTGATTGCAAGTATCATCTGGAGCGGAATCTACCTCGCGCGCAACAGTGGAGAGCCGCGGGAAGCGGACGAGGACAGCGCGGAGGAAACGGTGTTCGGAGGTGCACCGCCACTCACACAACCGCAGCGAGATTGCGACCCGAACTTCGTCACTACAATTCCAGTTGTAGTGAGTTTGTCTTTCTCTGGTCAAATGCGACTGATAGACCCTTCAGAAATGGAAAGTATCGGCAATGCTTTGTTAGACAAGCTATTGGAGGTAAATATGCTAATAAATATGTTGTCTAGCTATGAAAGTTGATGCCCGTGACTGGTTTACTTCCCAGCAATGCTACTGCAACGTCTCCCAAGACTGCCTGCAGTGGACGCTGACAATCGATGAGTTCGACTTCTCCAGAAGCGATTACAGCACCTGCCCCACGCCGCGTGCCTGCACCATAGATAATGTACACCCCATTTCCTCCGACGGGGACCGGACGGACACGACAACTGCAAAGGTGTTTCTACTTGGACAGAATGGACCTACCGACCCCGAATGCATATTCTGCACCGTGCAAAAAGTACTCGAGCAAGCAGCAAAGACTCTGAATTTGCCACCACAGTAAGCAATTACCGTCATGCATTTTTATGATATGGTCCTCGTTGTTTTTCTCCCTTCTGCAGCATCGTCCAAGTATTTAGCGAAATCCCCAGCTAGCAACTACGGCTAGCTATATTTATAGTACTTGCGCATTTTGGCGAGACGTAGGCGCATGCGCAAAATAATTATTCATATGAGAGCGACTCTAATTAGAACGCATTTTTTTGCTATTACGTGAGCGTGACCGGATGGACGTGGAAGAGTGGCTCTTTCAAGTTGATCAGAACCTCAGCCCGGAGGGGTTCCAGCTCCTGAAGGTGCTGTACCTCAACACACTTCAGTTCCGTACGCTCTCCGACCAAGTAAATCAGCCCCACAAGTTACACGGCGCGCTGAGCAGCGACTGGAGCGCGGAGGGGGAACAAGACGGGGGCGGACGCGTGCTGGAGTCGGCGCGCATGTCTCCTCGGGACTCACTTTCGCTTTTCGTCCATCGCCTCCGCGTGTTGGTGCCTCCTGCGCAAACTGAGTTGCGCGATCGTAAGGGCCTCGGAGCGCAAGAGTGCCTCGATCGCTTACCCCTCGGCCTCTCCACTCCATCTTCCTTCCTCACCGTTGAAATTTCACAAGAGTCTAAGATGCTAGAATGCCTCGTGAAGACTTACGTCATCCTGACCCCGCGACCGCAGCGCGTTGCGCTCATGAGGAACCTCGGTCAGAAAACGGATACACACGCAGATAATCTCACCACTTACCAGCTATTCGGACGATTCTTCGCCATCTACAAAGCTAGAATCGCAGAGGGTGTAGATGTGTTTGCCGATGCCCTCGGAGATGTCAACTCTCGCTCAGCGTGCGTTGAATTTGAGGCACATTTGACAGCCTCAAGAATTCCCCATGAACCAATACGAATCCCAGGTATTTGAACCTACGAAAATCCTCCATCTATGTAGATAGCATGGTCGTCTGTTTTATTCTTAAAGGTGAGGATAAAGTAGACGAAGAGCTAGTATCACAAGTGGACCCACTACTAAGTGAGTTATGTATAATCAGTGTCCATATTATTTTGCTGTAACAATGGAGCACTGGGGGTATCTGTATCGTGCGTGAACTTGCACAAGTATTAAAAGGCAATACAGTGGAACCTCCGAACAATGGGACCAACGATTTGTAGAGAAGTTGTCCAAATCTCCGAGGTCAAATAATGTACATTAGCATGGTGTCCTTTGTAGAGAGGTCGTCCCTATCTCGGAGGTCAAATAATACACTAAAGTATTAGCATGGGGTTGAAACGAGTGTCCTTTGTAGAGAGGTCGTCTCTATCTCTGCGGGTCCCTTACCACTGTTTAACTACTGCAGTTTTCTTTTCATAGAGCAGCAAGAGCGCAGGCGAGATAAAAAAACAAGGAAGGTTGCTCGAAAGTCAGCCGTGATTTGCCTCTGTCACTGCATTCCAATTCTTGTGGGGCTAGTCCTGTTTTCCATCGGAGTGGGTATTCTTTCAACCCACGTCCCTCCCGCTGAAGAGAAAGAAACGATTGAAACCTCGAGTCACGATCAGATGCGCTGCCCTGCTCCACATGGGGGTGTCCGTCCACAGCCAATCCGTGTCGGAAAGTTCAACAGCTTTTGGTACGAGTCAGTGACGGCTGCCCAACTTGCAGGTGATTTGTACTTTACACTGACGGCAAACGTGTACCTGATCCCTGAGAAGAAGCTCCCCATTCGCACGCAGAAGTACACGTGCTCGTGCAATCAGTCTAATTGTGAATACCTCTATCTTCGTTATTTTTATCTTCTGGAAGGTTCGAGTGTCGATTTCTCGCTGATTGTCAACTCCACCAGCACAACAAATCCTGGCTTTGTTAACCTCACAATATGTGACAACTACGTCGACTTCAATGGAGGTGACTGCTCACTGCAATATCCTGTAACTGTCCGACCACACGAAACAGGCAAGGCATTTAAGACACGGTTTACTGCTCCCAAAGACAGCTATTACTTTGTAACGACTTACAATCAGTTTTCAATGAATGCCCTTATCCACTCTTACCAAGTCGACGTTGAGATGAAATACCTGAATGAAAGTGACTTTGGAACAAATGTAGCTGCTCACTTCAGTCAGACAGAATCGCAAGGCATTTCCAAGCAGATATTTGACAACAATGGGCTTACAAGTGCAACGAATTATGTAATTGTGGCAACATTTGACGGTAGGGGAGCTTTTGGTAAAATGAGGGTTACAAAACACCACAGAAACTTGGTTTATGTTGTCCCGGCAATAGCTGCGTTGTCATTTATGCTCCTGGGGGTGATTTTGGTGGCTTGTATCTGCGTATGCTACTGCATTGTGAAGAGAATCATTCGTCGTAGGCGGAAAGGAAGGGAACTTAGCATCCCAATAAATTACTGAGATTCCCCCCCTGTACATTTGGTGAGATGTGTTTTAATATTATATTATCACTGTGAAATGGAACCTACGTAATCATTACATAACGTGTGGTAATTTTGAGACGTATTTTCACTTTCAGTTGGTTATGTAATGAGATGCTATCCAATAATAATCTGTACAGGAGCACATAACTCATACACGCATGCGCCCAAACACACATGCACCGAGACACAACGGAAATGGAAAGGTCAGAGGTCACGGCTTCTGGAGTTTCGTTTTTAACTTTCGTTATCATAGTTGCTCGTCCAGCCTCTGTTTCTTAGTAACCGGTGGTGTTTCGTGCGTGGTTTCACTACTGTCGTCGTCGAGACCTGGTCCCCTTCGCTGACGATGTCGTTAGTGGTGGGTGTGGCCAACGAGGTCGTCGCCGGGGGCAACGAGGGAGTAATGGAGGACGAGGAGGAGGGAGGAGGGGAAGTGTTCAAAGCTGACAAAGGGGAATCAGGGAGATGGTTGCTGGGGATTCACCTATAATTATACAAAAAGTCGAAACCCAGTATAATTTTTTTTTATTGCAGCCACAAAAATTATTTCACTGAGTATAAAATTTTCCCTGTCCCAATACTAGTATATACACCTGTAAAAATGTGAAACGGATAGGGATAAAATTTACCTTCAGAGAGAGTTTCTCCAAGAGCTGCAAGGATGTTGGCTGCTGATACAGCCGCATCATTCGCCATGGCAACAGATTCCACATCGTCTCCGTCGGCTTGGCTCTCGTCGTCGTCGATGCCGGGCTCTGAACCCAGAGACGACGACGAATTGTTGATGGAGTTTGGGAGGTTTAGAAAACACTGGGCAATCAGCTCTGCTGTAATTGAGGGGATTACCCCCGAAACTCCGCCCAGTTCTCCGCCTCCCTGTTGCTGTAGCAACGTACTCGCCTCGAGGACCTGGGCTGCTGTGCTCTTATTAGAAGTGGCGTCGTCGCCGTCTTGCCTCATGTCGGGGGTAAAAGAAGCAGGCCTGCTTGTCGAGAGGGAAGAGGATGAGGTGGTGGGCTTCAATTGGGATGTGAGGTGGTTTGCTAGTTGACTAATCTTCCCTCCTACCAAAACTGGTGTCGTCGTTGTCGTTCCTAAAATACGAGACAATTATAGTTATTGGTGTTCACAACAGCAACAGAAAAGTGTCTTGAAAGCACGTAAATCACAACTTAGTGACAGTATAATTATAGGTATGAACAGTTTACTAACCAGTATATACATAGGTATGAACAGTTTACTAACCAGTATATACATAGGTATGAACAGTTTACTAACCAGCATATACAACACAGCATAAAATAATTGGCATGCGAAACGAACCTACACTAGTCGTCTGAATGAGGGGTTTTTCCCTACGAAATGTATGTGTAACATAGAGCACTGCATGTGTACTACAATGACAGTGATACCACCGTACTAAATGTATGTGTGACGTCGTGTGCTTATAAACACACGCGAAAACATGTTTCGAAATACCCGTACTTATTCTGGTACCTGGTGTCTTCTGCTGAAGAGCCGACGCCAGACTTGGAGGGAGAGCACTGCCCTTTGGTACTGTGGTTGCCGTGACAATCCCTCTTGGGATGGCACCTGCAAAATGTCGCATAAACTTGTTGTACTTTTAGCAAGCAAGTTGGGGGGAAAGACAGGTTAACCAACCATCCTGAATACCTTGACTATAGCTGGAGAGTGCAGTGAAAAAATACGGTGGCCTAATTGTTCGTACTTTTAGCAAGTAAGTGGGGGGAAGGACAGACCAACCAACCATCCGAATACCTTGACTATAGCTGGAGAATGCAGTGAAAAATAGGGTGGCCTAAATTGCTCGTACTTTTAGCAAGCAAGTGGGGGGAAGGACAGGCCGACTCCTGAATACCTCTACTATAGCTGGAGTGTGCAGTGAAAAAACAGGGTGGCCTAAATGTTCGTACTTTTAGCAAGTAAGTGGGGGAAAGGACAGTCTAACTAACCATCCTGAATACATTGACTGTAGCTGGAGAGTGCAGTGAACTGAAAGTTCACAAAAACAAGAGAAGTTTGGTGTATGTCCTTCCTGCAATCCCAATGGCTGGAGTATTTACAGCACTAGTTACTTTCGTCATTTGCGTTTGTGCCGGCTACTGCATTGTCCGGAAAAGGACAAACGTCAGAATCAAGGGAGGAAATGAGCTACGTGATCCTCTTGTCTCCAGTAATAGTGACAGACATGCGTAAAGACTTTGATGGTTTACTGCCTTTTGCTCAGCATGCCTGTAAATCCCTTCCCCTCCCCTCATGATGTAAAATTATGTTATCCTCCACATGAGCGCGTAACTAACCGCGCTTAGCTACACGCATGCGCTGCAAGCACGGAGGAGAGTTTGCATTTCCGGTGGTGTTTACCGTTGCTAAATAAGGTTTCAGATTGTGTGCTGGCGTAAGTAGCTACACAGTTAGACCCAGCGCAGCAGTTAGGTGTACGCGCCGCAAGAGATGCAGAGTTGCAGTAAATATCATATTATCAGCTACTTTGTAGATGCCTGTCTGATTACCGGTATCTTCGCGAGCGGGATCTACCTCGCCCGCAACACCTACGCGGACGAGCCCGCGGCGACTGACGACGGGGAGGTTATTTTCACGGGCGCTCCGCCGCTGACACCGACGCCGACCAATCGCGACTGTCCAATGACGAACCTGAAGACAGTTGAAGTGGTTGTGGACCTGTCATTCTCGAGGGACGGGTATCCGGTGCCGATAAACCCGTCAGACGCGGAAGATATCGGCGACGGACTTTTAGATTTGTTTGTGCAGGTCTGTATTATAGCTAGCTTTATTATAGCTGCCCATGTTTTCTTTATCATCAACAGAGATGTTACTGCAATAGCTCTAATGAGTGTTTCCATTGGACTTTAGTCATCAGCGAAATCAACTTTTCCAAAAGTGATACTGCTTACTGCCCTGACGCCGTACCAGTATGTTTACAAAGTCCCCGACCGCTGCCAACGGGCCGTGTGAACACTACAATTGCCAAGGTCTTCCCCGTTTCCAAATCACCTCTGAAGCCACCGTGTTGCTTACATTGTACAGTGGAGAGCATACTAATGGAAGCAGCGGAAAAATATCATCAGATGCCGCCATAGTAAGTCTGTCATTTAGTGCACATTGTGAATTTATTGCGCTTTTTCTATATACAGTATCGTGGTGCTTCTTGGTGATATCAGTGAAAGGAGTTGAAAAAGACAATGTCCATGGTTCTATTATTACACCGCGCGTGCGCGTGGATAAATTTATAAGCGCTCACACGCGTGTAATTGGTTTGCTTGGGGATGGAAGGAAGCCGAATGGGAGACGAATTTGCAAGGCAGTGGCTGTTTGAAGTCGGCCAGAACCTCAGTCCCAAGGGTTTCCAGTTGCTGAAGGTCCTTTACCTCAACACTCTGCCGTTTCGCACGCTCTCCGACCACGTAAACCAGCCGCACGAGCTACACAGCGCGCTGAGCGGCAACTGGAGCGTAGCCGAACAACGCGAGGACGACGAACGCGTGGTGGAGACGGAGCGCATGTCTCCTCGCGACTCCCTGGCACTTCTCGTGCATCGCCTCCGCGTACTGGTGCCGTCTCCGTCAGCCGAATTGCGCAGTCGTAAGGGCCTCGGAGCGCAGGAGTGCCTCGAGCGCTTACCAGCGGCCTCCGCTCCATCTTCCTTCCTCACCGTTGAAATTTCACAAGAGTCTAAGATGCTAGAATGCCTGGTGAAGACCTACGTCAACTTGACCCCGCGACAGCGTGTTTCATTCACGAGACACCTCGGTCAGGAAATGGGGACACATGCCGATAATCTTACAACTTACCAGCTCTTAGGATGTTTCTTCACTACCTACAAAACCAGGATAAAAGAAGGGGTAGCTGTGTTCGCAAAAGCCCTCCGACACGTAAAGTCACCGTCAGCCTGTGTTCAACTCGAAGAAAATCTTTCGTCTTGTGATATACCCCATGAACCAATTCAGATACCAGGTAATATATAACGATAGGACACCTTTTTCTTACCCCAAGAACATTTCTTGCATGCAAATTAACCCCTGAAATGAAGACACCTCTCCATTGGGACACCTTTTCCGAACAACAGTCCTTGAAAACCAATTTTAACCCCTGAAATAAGGACACCTAACTAATAACAAATCACTTTTCCGTCCCATTGGTATCGGGTTAGATATAATTATAGGCTCTACTGTAATTCCTGTATAGATGTGTATGAACCAGATGAGGAGGTGGAACATGAAGTTACCCCTCTTCTCAGTGAGTTCATTGTCTTATCTCTGTCCAATCATGCATTCTGTTCTAGTGGGCCTCCCGTACGTAAGTACATCCGTGCCAGCAATTATAGGCATTACTCATGTTCAGACTCACGTTCTGTGAAGGCCACACTGTGAATATACTAGTAGATTTAAAATTGCAGCACATGCAGCCAAGCTAAATAGGGAAAATTAGAGAATAGCCTTCCACTCAGCACTATTGCTGTTTGAATAGGCGACATAAAGTTGGTATAGCTAATAGTTTACACACATAGAATAATGTAACCATGCTAATAGTAGTAAAGCAGTGCATTGCCAGCACTCATGTGACACCATGAAATGTAGTACTGACTTTTCCCGGCAGAAAAGCAACAAAAGAGACAAGAGAGGAAGGCCAGGCAAGTAATTTTGAGGGCACTCAAAATTTTATGCTGTCACTGTATCCCAATTATTTTGGGTATATTACTGCTTTCAATTGGAATGGCCATCTTCTCCACTTACCTATCTCCCGCCGAAGAGACAAAGACAGTAGAAACTTCGAACAGCTACCAGTGGCGTTGTCCTGCAACTGGAACTAGCCCCTTTCCAGCAGCGCCAATTCGTTTGTGGAAATTCAACACATTTTGGTACAATTCAGTGAGTGCAAAACAAGAAACTGACAACAACTATTACCGGCCACTCACTGCCTATATATACCTGATTCCAGACGATAAACTTCGTGTGTATAGACGAAATTACACGTGTTGGTGTGACGCAATCCCTAATTGCAGCAGTGTGTTTATTTTTCCAAGGCGTGTATTTACTGACAGGGTCGAGTATCGAGTTTTCACTAGTCATTAACTCTACAAGTGCTACTGAAAATGGCCACTTTAATATCACAATATGTGATGATGAAATAAGTTTTTCTAATCAGCCGCCTAGCTGCTCGGTAGATTTCTCTCTAACAATAGGACCAAGTGAAACCGACGTGCGAATGAACGAGACATTTGTTGCTCCTAAGGACAGCTACTATTACATCACGACAGCCACTTCGGTTAATGCCATCATATCCTCGTATCAAGTCAGAATGGAGATCTTGTTTCTGAATTCGAGTGACTGGAACGGTCTAACAGAGGCTACCGAATTTCATAGCTACGATGCAGCTGGGATCTCACACTCAATTTACTATAGAAACGGACTTTCCAGCATGTTTGCAGCAGGAAGCTACACGGTTGTAGCAAAATTCGATACGAAATACAACCAACCATATATGGGTCAAATGAAGGTCACCAAGTACCATAGAAACTTGGTTTATGTTGTCCCGGCAATAGCCGCAGCGTCGTTTATGCTCCTGGGGGTGATTTTTGTGGCTTGTATCTGCGTATGCTACTGCATTGTGAAGAGAATCATTCGTCGTAGGCGGAAAGGAAGGGAACTTAGCATCCCAATAAATTACTGAGATTCCCCCCCTGTACATTTGGTGAGATGTGTTTTAATATTATATTATCACTGTGAAATGGAACCTACGTAATCATTACATAACGTGTGGTAATTTTGAGACGTATTTTCACTTTCAGTTGGTTATGTAATGAGATGCTATCCAATAATAATCTGTACAGGAGCACATAACTCATACACGCATGCGCCCAAACACACATGCACCGAGACACAACGGAAATGGAAAGGTCAGAGGTCACGGCTTCTGGAGTTTCGTTTTTAACTTTCGTTATCATAGTTGCTCGTCCAGCCTCTGTTTCTTAGTAACCGGTGGTGTTTCGTGCGTGGTTTCACTACTGTCGTCGTCGAGACCTGGTTGACCTTCGCTGACGATGTCGTTAGTGGGGGTGTGGCCAACGAGGTCGTCGCCGGGGCAACGAGGGAGTAATGGAGGACGAGGAGGAGGGAGGAGGGGGAAAGTGTTCAAAGCTGACAAAGGGGAATCAGGGAGATGGTTTTGCTGGGGATTCACCTATAATTATACAAAAAGTCGAAACCCAGTATAATTTTTTTTATTGCAGCCACAAAAATTATTTCACTGAGTATAAAATTTCCCTGTCCCAATACTAGTATATACACGACATGTAAAATGTTGAAACTGGATAGGGATAAAATTTACCTTCAGAGAGAGTTTCTCCAAGAGCTGCAAGGATGTTGGCTGCTGATACAGCCGCATCATCGCCATGGCAACAGATTCCACATCGTCTCGTCGGCTTGGCTCTCGTCGTCGTCGATGCCGGCTCTGAACCCAGAGACGACGACGAATTGTTGATGGAGTTTGGGAGGTTTAGAAAACACTGGGCAATCAGCTCTGCTGTAATTGAGGGGATTACCCCCGAAACTCCGCCCAGTTCTCCGCCTCCCTGTTGCTGTAGCAACGTACTCGCCTCGAGGACCTGGGCTGCTGTGCTCTTATTAGAAGTGGCGTCGTCGCCGTCTTGCCTCATGTCGGGGGTAAAAGAAGCAGGCCTGCTTGTCGAGAGGGAAGAGGATGAGGGTGGTGGGCTTCAATTGGGATGTGAGGTGGTTTGCTAGTTGACTAATCTTCCCTCCTACCAAAACTGGTGTCGTCGTTGTCGTTCCTAAAATACGAGACAATTATAGTTATTGGTGTTCACAACAGCAACAGAAGAAGAGTGTCTTGAAAGCACGTAAATCACAACTTAGTGACAGTATAATTATAGGTATGAACAGTTTACTAACCAGTATATACATAGGTATGAACAGTTTACTAACCAGTATATACATAGGTATGAACAGTTTACTAACCAGTATATACATAGGTATGAACAGTTTACTAACCAGCATATACAACACAGCATAAAATAATTGGCATGCGAAACGAACCTACACTAGTCGTCTGAATGAGGGATTTTTCACTACGAAATGTATGTGTAACATAGAGCACTGCATGTGTACTACAATGACAGTACATATGTACACGTGATACCACCGTACTAAATGTATGTGTGACGTCGTGCGCTTATAAACACACGCGAAAACAGGTTTCGAAATACCCGTACTTATTCTGGTACCTGGTGTCTTCTGCTGAAGAGCCGACGCCAGACTTGGAGGGAGAGCACTGCCCTTTGGTACTGTGGTTGCCGTGACAATCCCTCTTGGGATGGCACCTGCAAAATGTCGCATAAACTTGTTGTACTTTTAGCAAGCAAGTGGGGGGAAATACAGGCTAACCAACCATCCTGAATACCTTGACTATAGCTGGAGAGTGCAGTGAAAAAACAGAGTGGCCTAAATTGTTCGTACTTTTAGCAAGCAAGTTGGGGGGAAAGACGGGCCAACCAACCATCGTGAATACCTTGATTATACATAGCTGGAGAGTGCAGTGAAAAAACAGGGTGGCCTAAATTGTTCGTACTTTTAGCGAACAAGTTGGGGGGAAAGACGGGCCAACCAACAACCGTGAACATTTCAACAAAAGTTGTACATAGAATGCAGTGCAACATTATAAAGAAAACATGTTGTTAAAAATGTCCCTCTCCAAAGCAAAAGGAGAGAGTGTGAAAGAAAAGAGAAGAGGAATTGAAAGAGAAAAGGAGAGAGTGTGAAAGAAAAGAGAAGAGGAATTGAAAGAGAAAAGGAGAGAGTGTGAAAGAAAAGAGAAGTGGAATTGAAAGAGAAAATAAGAGTGAAAGAAAGTGGAAGGGAAGAGAGAGAAGCGTGTACCGTTTGCCTGGCTGGCTGGTCTATTGGTAGGATGGGTAGATAAGACCTTGGAGGCTATCGACTTGACGTTGGCGAGCGTCGCGTTCTGAGGCAGGTTTTTCTGGAGAGCTGTGAGGAGTGCCTGTGCGTTTTTGAGGTTGCCGGCGAGATGGAGGAGATTCAGGGCACTCGATGTGGTGGATGAGTGGGTCGTTTGGGCTCCTGTGTCTGAGGGAGAGAGAGGAAATAGAGGGGGATTGAAGTACTAGCATACATCATACATCATACAGTGGAACCTCTCTCTAAGGACACCCCTGAAATGAGGACACCTCTCTAATAAGGACACCTTTTCTTTCCCCAAGAACAGTTCTTGGGTGCAATTCAAACCCTGAAATAAGGACACATCACTAATATGGATACTTTCTTCTGTCCCATTGGTGTCTGGGTTAGAGTTCCACTGCACTAATGTGCTGACATACCAATAATGTCTACGGACACGAAAAAGTGTAAAAAAACTGCGACCCAAAATTAATTTATCTAACTTTTGGGCATTTTAACACTAATTTAGTCACCCCTCATTGAGAAGTTAGACGGCACATGAAACCACACCTTTCTTTGGGTCTGCTCCACTCCCGACCGTTGTGGGTGTGGTTCTGGTTGCCATGGAGAACGACCGAGAGAGGTCCCGCCCACTCAAATCAATGGTCGGTTTCTCCGCCCGACTGGTACTGGGCGTGGCCTTGTCTCCCTGGGTATCTCGTTGCCGTTGGCGTACTTGGACTTGCCTGGCGACCGATTCGAGGACATCTTCGATTTTCTGTTCAGATCCCACGGCCTTGTTCTGTTCTATGACACGGACTGAGGGAGAGATTGTTACAGATTGTTACGTAATAGGAGGACTCTGAAAGTGAATTGTCTAAAGTATGTATACCTTGTTCCTCGAGTACTTCGTTTTTCTTTTTCAAGTCAGTGATTTCAGTCTGCCGTAAAAAAAACAGTAAAAGTCAAAATTTGCCATTTATACTCCTAAAAAAATCCTCTTTTTGAATGAAGCATGCCTACCAAGTAAAAATTTATGGCACTGACGTAACACTTGATCTAATTCTAATTATGTGTAAGCTAGTGAAATTTCGAACTACAATACATACCTCTCTCATTGATCCACCTCTCTGCATCTGTCTAATGTACTCTGTTGCCTGGTTCAGAATGTGGGCACGAGACACCTGTGATGACATCATACCAAAGTCATGTGATCTCACATGATATGTCACGTGACCTCTGATACCACCAAAAAAAGTGCAAGCAACCACAAACATTGAAACAAGAGCGGTCTTACATGTTCAACCATGTGATGTCATACGATATTACCGGGATCATGTGTGACCTCATGTGACCCACCTTCTCTCCCTGGAGCGAAGGGATGCAGTCTCTGAGGACCGTGGAAGGAGTCCTTTATGTGATCTCTTCTCCTCCTCTCAAGAAGATTGTGATGGGCTCTCTTGTCAGTGTGGAACTGTACACATTAGAGAAAGAAACACAAACAGTTTATACAGAGGTTTCAACTTAGTAAGTCTATTTAAAAGGGGGAATTCTCTCTTTCCTGGTATTACACAATGTACATCTAAACTGAAAATGCGGGAGATGCCTGTATGCATGCATATAATGTAGTGTTTTACTTATGGATGCTGTGTGATGACATAACCACTCAGATATTTTGAATATTTAATCATCGGCTTTTCCCCCCTCTGTCTCCCACTTGTAAGCATACACCTAAAACTCTCCCTCCCCCTCCCTCCCTTTTACTCTCTTAGGATAGTGTAAGCTTACGTTCAGAGGTGGTTAAGAAATGTCTTTTGATTTAGGATATCTGAAGCACAAACTATACTTTTCCTTTGCCTTGCTACAATATGTACCTCATAGCTGTCACACGCATTCAATGTATGGAGGCCCTGCCCAGACTTGGACAAATAAAAATACACTCAGCAACAGTAGCAGTATTATAAGTGCCCTCTTCCCCTCTCTTTTTCATGCCTACTCATTTACACCCACCATAGGGTCATTGCTGTTGGATGAGGCAGTCGCTTCTCCTCCCAACTCCGGAACCTCATCACTTTCCACGTCAATGAACCCTCCCTCCTCACTCATCCCTCCCTATCTTACCCACTTCTTATCTCTACTGCTGCAATACTTGTTTTTAGGTTTTAGAAGGCAGGGAGAGAGAGGAGGGGAGAGGGGGAGAAAGAATTAAGAGAGAAGGGGGCGGGGAAAGGAGAGAGAGAGGGGGAGGAGGTAGAGAAGGAGTATAAAGCAAACATTCACCACAGAGAACCTGAGAACTTTTCCCCACACGTGTTTCTAGCAATAGTTTCACATGTGGGAAATAAGGTATATACACATACGGAGAACCTGACATACCTGTTTTACAGTGTCAACGCCATGCTAAGCACATAGCAACCAGGCCAGCACAGCTTTCAGTAATGTCCAACTATTCATTACTCAGCAGCGGTTACGGTTATTCATAGCCTTTGAAATACAAATTCCTCGACACGACGCTCATGAATTATTCATGAGTACACATGGCGCACAGAACCGCGCCGCAAACACAGGGCCATCCTTCAGCGGCGTCTCTGTCGCTGGAACAGCTAGCGTTGCACACGCACACGGAGCAAAAGCTAGGCGACAACCGCACCCTGTGACGGCTCGGCTAGCCGCGAAACTGAAGCGCTTTTGAAGTCGAGGTGTGCGCGGCGGCAGACCCAGGGCAATAAAAATGGGTGTGTCCCGCCCCATGAAAATTTCGGTTTCACTTATTGTTGGTCGCTAGTTTTGCGCCGTAAATACGGTAAAGAACGGGAAAAGCGTCCATAAAGCGTTCGCTCCCTCTCCCGCTATTCGGTGTGAAAATATCAGAGTGGCACGCGACAGAACGCTTCTAGGCAAGAGGGGGCGCGCGCCGTCCTCCCTTTTCCCTTACTTACCTCGGGAAACTGTAGACAGGTACAGTAGACAGTAAATGAAGCTTTCAACTCGCTTTCTCCTTCCCTCTTCTCCCCGTCAGCGAGAGAGAAAACAAAATTCTAACGATATTCAACTGCCCGTCGTCACGTGGGTGCGCACCCTCACGTGATCAAACACGTGTTCTTGCGCGTCCGTAAATAATTAGCGGGGAAGCGATAAATTTATGCGCGACTTACAGTTATAAAATCTCAGATGTCTGTACAAATTTACAGACACTTTTTTTTATACCTGTACAATGATAAAAATACAGACTGGTGGGTGCTAAAATTATGATTGCTTCTTCTTTTTCGAGTTTTTCGCTCTTTTCGCAATCTTATCTGGAGAAAAAAATAAATATGAAAATCAATCGTATGAGAAACATTTGCAATTATAGATTGGAAAAGTATGGCAACACCTCACACATCTAAGGACACCCCTGAAATGAGGACACCTCTCTAATCAGGACACCTTTTCTTTCCCCAAGAACAGTTCTGGGTGCAATTCAACCCCTGAAATAAGGACACCTCACTAATAGAGACACTTTCTTTTTGTCCCATTGGTGTCTGGATTAGAGGAGTTCCACTGTACACACCTTTCTTTGCATTCTTCTTCTCTTGTCTATTCATTTCTCTGAGAAGGAAGAAGGCCAGCACTGAGCTGACGATGAACAACGGCAGAATCAAGAACACTGCAGTCAGAAACACGAGAGAGAGAAACTTCAAATGTCTCTGTCTTTGTCCTGTTTCCAACCTGTCCAAACTTACTCACTGCCCATAATTGCTTGTACTGCTTGTGCAACAATACAAAATTATCCTCTATCAGCAATCAGCAACTACAAGCCCGTATCGTTTTAAACTTCACTAGTTAAATGTTAGCCTGTGATATCTTGTACATGAACGACTACACACAAAGCTAATTGACGGCCAAGCCAACAATGGTGGCAGTGCCAAACGTTACAGAAGGAAAACGGATTACGGAAGTGAAGCGTACGTCGGGAAAAGAAGTCCTGAGGGTCTTTAGCGGCGTATTTGGCCGCCCAGTCCAGCCATTCCACCGCTACCGTCTTTACCGCCTCCATGTCCTTTGCGTTAGTGGACTTCGAACTCTCTTTTACTCTATTTAGTGCCCAGCATAAGATTCCATATAAAGCGCACTTACCCTAAAAGAATTGAGAAAGGCGTTCTCTACTGTAGCGGTAAGTGTACTGTGTCTCAATGTCTTACTTCTAGATAGAGACACGTATGAGGTAGTCCTATATATTGTCGTAAGTGTATCTATAGCCGGTAAACGTTTGCGTACAGAAACACTAAACTCTGTGTGCCTGAATATCCGCAGAGATGGCGAGAGGGCACCAGAAGATCCAGAGTCAGAAAAAGAACGCCGAGAAGCAGGCGAAGATGAAGAAGGCGCAGGGCTCAGACCAGAAAGCCTCAGCACAGAAGGCCCTCATCTACACCTGCCCAGTTTGTCGATCTCAGATGCCGGACCCAAAGACCTACAAACAGCACTTTGAGAGCAAACATCCCAAGAGCCCTCTGCCTCCGGAGCTGCAGTCTGTCTGATTTCTTCTGTCCTGTACCCCACCCCCCACTGCACACAACAACATCATGCCCATATATTCATCATTGTCTGTGTGTTATAGTAGGTAGCGTCGACTTTTTTTTGTGTTTGTTATAATTCCAATATGGGCCAATATTTTGCCATAATTGTTTTGATCGCAATATTGAGTTTTATATAGTATAATTATAGTGTATACGTCATCTCTTGGTAGTTCAACACCAATTTTATGTATACCGTAACATTGTATACAAAAGCAAGAGACATTGTGTTTAAAGTAAGACAAACCACAAAAAATGGGGAAAACGTGAAATACGTATAATTATGATAAATTATGCGAGACAATAATGTACATGAACAGCAAGTCTTGGGTGATTGGGTTATGTATATATGTGTATAATTATATTATGTAGCGTGAATAAATGATACTAGTTCCGAAAAACCCGTCCAATAATGTCTAGTAGATGGACCACTCGAATTGAGGTAGCTTCCCTGGTTAGAGAGGATGGAGATATAGAGAGAAAACAGGAGAATGGATTAGCATGGAATGGAGCTGGTGCAAAATGTGGAGGCAAAACAAACACATTCAAAAAAGGTTGCACAGATAAACACTTTGGGTTGTATATAATTATACTAAAGGGTAGAGCAATGAATTGCACTATGCTATGCGGTGTGAGATTGCGGAACAGCGTATAAGTGTTGACTATACTATTACCTGTGTGCTTTTTTGATTGGTGGCTTTCTAATTTGCGGCTGCTTGGCAGAGAAGACGAACGCATGACACTCGCTAATGAACAGGAAAAAAAATGGACACCATGTCAATTCAGGACACCAACATTACAAAACAGGACACTGTTCAAGTTCAGGACCCTTTACACTTGTCCTGAAATACGTCCTGATTACAAGTTCAGGACACCAACATTACAAAAAAGGACACCATTTACACTTGTCCTGAAAATACGTCCTAAAAAAACTACAGGACACCCACATTATATACAACTTACTCTTTTCATTGGTCTTTGTGCTAGCAATGGCATGTGTAGCTGCTACTGCTGCAGGTTTCTCTGGCCGGCCAGTAGAAGTCTTTGAGAAATTGAAGTTTGGTTTTGCACTGGGTTTCATGGCAGAGACTGAGCCAGAACCCCTTACTCCTGTAGAATGATAGCATCTTAGATATGCAGGTGTATAATTATACAGTGGAACACCTCTCTAAGGACACCCCTGAAATGAGGACACCTCTATAATAAGGACAGCTTTTCCTTCCCCAGGAACAGTTCTTGCATGATGCAATTCAACCCCTGAAATAAGGACACCTCTTCTTTCCCCAAGAACAGTTCTGCATGCAATTCAACCCCTGAAATGAGGACACCTCTATAATAAGGACAGCTTTCCTTCCCCAGGAACAGTTCTTGCATGATGCAATTCAACCCCTGAAATAAGGACACCTCGCTAATATGGACACTTTCTTCTGTCACATTTGGTGTCCAGATTGGAGGGGTTCCTTCATGTAAGCATGTGTATGTTATTTTCATTACTTACCAGACATCCGTACTTTTGGGTTGGTGGAAGGTTTTACACTCTTTCTCAGTGGCTCATAAGGAGTCCTCGGGGTCTTGGCAGCCACCTATATAACAACAGTACATTCAGTGACGGAGAAAAACGCAAAGAAATGGGACGCAAGAAACTTCACCATATTCAAGTTCTGAGACCTTTTATACATATACAGTGGAACCTCGTTAATATGGGACCATCAAAAAATTTTCATAATTATTAAAAGGAATTTCACTATAGCAGTAGCTAGTTGTATTAGTGTTATAATGCCTGGGGAGTACCAAGCAGGTAATTCACTTTAACAGTGTTCGTATTAACGAGGTTCCACTGTAGTAGCATTGGCTCTGTTCACTAAAGAATATGCTATGTACCTTCTGTCTCTTGGCAGGAGGACCAGGAGTGGCACTGGTCTGAGCTGCTACCCTCCTCCGCCTCTTCTTATCGCTGTACTCCAAGATTGATGGCATTCTGGAGAAATTCAGGCAAAAATTCAGACAGAGAGTAAGGAACGTGGAAAAAAAGGGAATATAATTATGACTCTCTTACACCCCCTAAATTCACTTTCTTTCTCTCAGAGCAACTTGTGTAAAAGATCTGGATCGCACATTTGCAGGATCAAGAATTATCTTAGCCGCTTCAAAAACAAGTTTAATGCTGTGTATATATAGTTATTATGAGAGAAGGAAGGAGGGTCCCACTTGCTGAAGAGTCTCTCGTGGGCTCTGTTTGCCTTCTCTGTGGTCTTGGCGAAAGGGATTAAACTGCCGGCCTGTCTGTGTGTCTCTATCAGCGAGGAGACTGATGTCGAGGGTGCCACGTAGCCCGGCTCTGCCTCTGTGACAGAGAGAGAGAGAGAGAGAGAGAGAGAGAGAGAGATCTGGATAGTGGCACTACACACAAATATTGCCAATCTTTGATGATTAAGGGGCTGCTAAAGGAATTAAGGAGGTGAAGCAGTCGATAATATTACTGATAGTTTTACCAGGGTTCCTAAGGCAATTTAAACTGTTTTTGCAGAAGTTTGAATGTTTACTTACTTCTGTCAGCAACTCTCTGGTCTAGTAGAGCCATTATTTGGTCTGTCGCTGACCCACCTCCACACATTCTGTTGTGAAAGTGAAAGTATTAACCAGTATATACAGTACACACATTTATATAGAATCAGTGAAAGTTGAATATTTTTACCGAATCACAAACTGATTTTCACTGTAGTGGACTAACTCAGTGTACATTTAAGTGAAAGTCAATATATTATATTCTAGTTTTATATACCAACTCCCAAAAGTGTTGTTCGCTATAGTACAGTACAGTGGACTAACTTTTCCTCAGAACTGATCTCTCCCAGAGCCAGAGGGGCAGTGCCCACTGAGGCAGTAGCAGTATCCAGAGAGATGGTCCCGGACTGAAGAAGACTCGACGACGGAGAGATGGAGTGAGTCCGTCGCCGCTTCCGAGAGCCGCTGGTCGGCGTGGCAACCACATTGTCCGGAGGGGAGAGTACGGGGTCGTTGCCAGGGAGACGGGAGAGGGTGGCAGATGGCTCTGGAGATATGGAATAGGTGAGGCGACGGTCACAAACTCTCACAGATTTTGCTATCCCTCTGTCTCCTTCGTAAAGAGTGTCAGACTTTGCCAAAGGGACGTCTTCTTCCATTTCACAGTCCTCAGCTTCACTTCTAGTCTCATTCTCCTCTTCTTTTTCGTTTTGAGCTGCCGTTTCTTCTTCATGAACTGTCTCAGTTGGCACAGAGCTTGCCGGTAAAGTCACGTCTTTTTCCATTTCACACCTCCCCCCTACATTCCCTACTTCTTCCCCCTCTTCTTCCCCTCCCACTTCCTCCTCTCTCTCCTCTCCTCTTTCTTCCAGTCGTCTCTCCACATCAGCCACTTGAGGCTCACTACAATTGTACGAAGTAAGGCACCTCTACGTATGTACATACATAGCTTTGCAGTAAAGGCTGGTGACTAGTAAGCTTACCTGTTTTCTCCAACGACTGGTTCTACTTCGTTCTTCTCTCTGTATTCCTCTAGTAAACGAACCATCTCAACGTTCTGCGTGTCAGAAAAACAGCGCGGTGTTCAAAAAGGCGCCATTTCCGCCTCTTTTCCCGCCTCCCAGCGCTAGGCTAAGAGGCTCACCTTCCCGTTGGCTTTGAGTCCCAGCCTCTTGCACAGTTTCTGCAGAGCTGGCCTCTTCAGGGAGCTCAAGTCTTGCGGTAACTTATCAGCCATCTCGAGATCTTTTCGCGCCATTCCCGCTTTCTCCTTTGAATATTCCCTTATGCGCATGCGCGGAAACACCGATTGCATCACTATTATTATTTACAAAACGCAGATTAGGATGTATGTGGACAACACATTATCAAATTATGAGGGTATCAAAACGTGTGTGGGAGTGTGTGAGCTAAAAATGAAAAAATACAGAGTCTATGGTTCACCAAAGAAAATCATTCATATTCCACCAGCCAACACCACCAGGTTCTCGTAGGCTGGTTCACTCCTGAGGATGCTCAGGAATGTGTCGTACTTCTTACCATCGCGTTTGACCCTGGAGCATATAAGGTCAAGGAAATCGTGGGCTTGCGTGAAAAGGTCTCCTCCAGTAGCAAATGCTGCTCGTCTTTCAGCCAGAGTAATGAGTCCTTTCGAGTAGCACTTTGAGGCAAGGTCATGGAGAACGGAGATTTGCGAAATGTCTCGAAGAAGATTGTCAAAGTTTTTCTGGAGAGCTTTATATCCCTTTGTCATCGGGAGTAGTGAGCCATCTTTTATGGCTTCCAGAAATGATGAAATTCTCTCCAAGATGGCACTGATTTCTCCGCAAATTTTGCTTTTTCTTTTTCCTACTATCTCTGCCATGTAGTTTCGTGTAGCTCGCAATAAAGGACTTCTTGAGTTGAGTAATTTTTGGATCCTGGTGAGTTCGGCTTGGAAAGTAACCTGGCTATCATCCAGCATACCTTTCATCCCCAGGAGACTTGTTAGATATGCTTCTTCACCCTGCTGGTGTTGGTACACACCTTGTCGCCGTTTCCGAGAGCCGCTGGTCGGCGCGGCAACGAAATCAACCGCGTACTCGACATAATCCTCCTCCAACGTAAAGGGCGTTATAACGTCCACGCGTCGAAGGAGACATTTGGAGGGTGGAAATAGAGGAAGTGATCGGTCAGCGGACGGCTTAGGTATTAAAAGGGGCGTGGTTATAAAAAAAACAACATACCTATAATACACGTCACTCGAACTCTCTTTAGAACCCTGCCCTGCGAGTTCTGTATGAGTCGCCGCCTTACGTAGAAGAAGTGCGGCGATCAACCTCTTCTTTCTCTCTTTCTCCTACCAGCGGAGCTCTCTGAGCTTGTGTCAGCCATGCCGCGGCTGTTCAAGAGGAGCCATCGCTACAACGTCGCCAAAAACACGCTCCTTGCCAAGATCATACTGCTGGACAGCACCGTGGTTGACTTCAACCCTTTGCCTGAAGTGACCGGGGCCGACTGCTTGGAGAAAGTCGCACAGACGCTCGACATACAAGAGGTAGGAAGAGGGGAGGGAGGGAGGGAGGAAAGAGAAACTGAGAGAGAGTTATAGCGACATGAAGCAACTGTGCGTTTTATATGTAGCTATGTAGCTAGCTACGTAGCTAAACACATTAGCTGTGGAGAAAGAAAGAGATAGCTTCGTGACCATTTGTTAATCCCAGTGAGATGCATAAAAACAGCTAAAGTGTACGTTTCTTGTTGCTCTGTAACACTGCGTGTGTAAATTCGAAAACGCAATAATAATCCGAGCCTGCTACAATAGCATACGGAATTCACAACTGTGAATTTGTTTCCAGAAGTCTTAGATCATCTGGTTCTCATAATGACACCACTCATGGCTTGAAGAGGCTGGTAATGGCCTGGGAGAGGTTGGGGCTTTGATTTTCCATTCCAGGAATGATAGTAATTTCTGTGGCCTCACTCCCCTTCCCCAGCAACATGCTTGACATGCTTCACACCAGTCTATTAGCCTCTAGCACCATTGCTGTAGCCTGTGTGTGTGTGTGTGTGTGTATATATAGAAAGAGAGGAAGGGGAAGGAGTATTGTGTTTTGAGGAGTAAATAAAAAAGGGCATGTAAAAGTGTGGAAAGGGAGATAAGAAACGAAGTTCGAGGAAACGATGTTGTATACAACAAACATCAATGTGTTTATATATGTAGCAGTGGGCACTTAGTGTAGCAAAACAACTTCTTATTGTGGCTGTGGGCAGTATGTGCACGTATAATATGTATATACATAGTTTCAATATTGCTTATATACCTACATACGTCAATATGCTGTATAATGTCACGATACATACGTTCATACAGTAGTTAAAGGCGTATACTCTGCCAGTGTTTTGTGTTTGAGTGGGTGACTGGAGTGAGGTTCAACCAATTATACTGTACTGCACATACCTAGTGTCTGGACCACAACCCACATTATATATAGTAGCTACATTTTATATATACATAAATACAGTGGAATCTCTCTCTAATAAGGACACCCCTGAAATGAGGACACCTCTCTAATAAGGACACCCCCAAAGACAGTTACGGTATTTCTGTCACGTTTGGCACTCAAACTCCTAACCTTGTTTCCTTGCCCTACTCTTGCCCGTGGCTCACGCTGTCGCCATGGACACCATCACGACAATATCTCACTAAATGAACAGCTGTGTATGTCTTAATCATTGGTGACCGCGTAATTTGCCAATTTTGCCAAACAGAACATTGTCGAAATGTAAATTTGGTGGACATCACTCGTAGCACATCGTTGCATCAAGCAGCCAGCGGTTATGTTATAATTTGGCGATTGGGTAAATTTACAATTTTCTACCTGCAACAACCACCGATTTTTAACCTATGTTCCGTCTTTTTGCCTGGTTGCAGACGTCATATTTCGGCCTCCAGTTCCAGACGAGGTCGGAGACCATGAGATGGGTGGAGAGGGAAAAACCCCTCAGGTAATTTTACAACATGATCCCCCCCAGGGGCTAGGGGGGCAATTTTGAGTTTTGTTTTACCCCCCTTTACTTGCCCCCCTTAAAGAACGGCTAAAATCGAATCCCAAGTAAAAGTCCTCGTTCACTCGTACACCCATATTAATTATTTCTCAAAGACATTATTTTGCACATCTCCCCTTCCCTTTAAGAAAAGCACTGGCATTATGTACATTGTGTAAAAAAATTTTTTTTAAGGAGAAAGAAGTGTTATGAAACATATTATCATCTTCAATCATCTTTCTTCCTTTCTTTAATCTTTCAATTGTCCTTTTCTGTCTGTCTGTGTGTATATACAGACGTCAACTTGAGAAATACGCCATAAACGGAGTCCAGAACGCAGAACTCAGGTTCAGAGTCCAGTACTACGTAACCAGTGTCACCAAACTGGAATTCGAGGTCACGCGGTTAGTAAAGAGAAAGAGTATTGGCTAAGGTATACTGTCTGGGTTGTCTTTTCAGGTACCTGTACTTTCTTCAACTGAAGCACCTCATTTTGAACGGAGAGCTTCAATGTTCACATGACATCGCCGTAAAACTTGCCTCCTATGCTCTTCAAGGTATACATAATTATGTACAGTGCATATACTTAATTCAACTCATTTTTGGCAACTGAACGTGAGTTTACTAACTGGCCATGCACTTACCACATATCTCTATCTCTCTTTGTTGATTTGTCGTTTCGTTTACTCATGTGCGTACAACAAATGCAAAACGGTTCAAACCCTTGTCGGAAGGGGTGGTAATGAAGGAAAAGGCAAATAAGTGCCCCCTCTCTCCCTCTCTCTCTCTCTCTCTCTCTCTCTCCCTCCAGCTGAATTCGGGGACCATGAAGAAGAGAAGCATACCCCCCAATTCCTCAGCGAATACGTCTTTCTACCTCCAGTAAGACCAGATCTTTTACCCTTGAGTGTCTCTTTTGTCAATTTTTCTTCAATTTGATAAGACAAGAACGCTATGGTGGATACGTTGTATGTATGAAAATAGAGTTGTAGTTGTGTTTTTTTCCTTCGCTTCACCTTTCGATTTTTGTCGCTGTTTTACATGTAGTAGAACCAAAAACAAGGCTGTAAGTTGAACCAACACAATATCTTCCAAAAGCTAGAATACACCTAACGAAGCTATGTGCCATGTACATGTGCATTAGAAACTTTGGACACACTGGGACCTCTATTCAGAGGTGTCCTTTGCTCGGGGTTAAATTGTGCACCAAAGCATTAGCAGTGGTTCAAAGCTAGTGTCCTTTATAGAGAGAGGTGTCCTTTATTCAGAGGAACTAAAGGAGAGGTGACTAAAAGTGTTAAGATTGGATTGAAACGATGTCCTTTATTCAGAGAGTGCCTATTGTAACTGTGTAACACTCTTTGTTGGATATCCCTAGGCAACCGACATGTATGAAGCTAGGTACTGGGGGATTTTATCAGCCTATACAATCCTACATGTGCAACCAGGGTTCATACATGTCGTTTGCCTAGGGATATCCAACAAATCTGTTGCAGTACCCAGACAGGACAGCATTCACCCTTACAGGGCTCATGCTGTCCTGTCTGGGCACTGCAACATATACATACAATCTTTTTTCATGCACAGTATATAGTGCAATGGGTTTCGAATCCCACCCAGGGCAGCTCCTCTTAAAAGGAGTTGTCATAGATTCTACTACCTCTGCCTTGCTGCCTCATTAACTATCAACATCTGAGATTTCACACTATTCCACACTATTTGCAATCTAATTGCTCGAACTATGCGGAGTAACGAGCCAGTAATTACCAGTGTTACTCTTGTGAGATGACGTAATGATGATGTAATCTCTTTTCCGCAGAATGTTGGTCCGCCCACTGTAATTCAATCTCTGACAGAGAAGGTATATATACATTATGTAGATATAGTCCGACTCTTACACGTACATAATATGTATACATGTTGCAGTGCCCAGACAGGACAGCATGAGCCCTGTAAGGGTGAATGCTGTCCTGTCTGGGTACTGCAACAGATTTGTTGGATATCCCTAGGCAAACGACATGTGTATGAACCCTGCTTGCACATGTAGGATTGTATAGGCTGATAAAATCCCCCAGTACCTAGCTTCATACATGTCGGTTGCCTAGGGATATCCAACAAGTACGTATGCATGTACACTACATATGTATGTGTGCATTATTAGAGGGCAATGTGGCAATATAAATGGGCTAAATTTAGAAACTGTTACTAAAAACAGAAACTTAGTTGCACTGGGTCCTATTGTTTAGGTCTAGCTATTTTTAGTAGAATTTCTAAATTTATCCCTCACGTACGTATGTACAAGGCACACTTTGCTATAGGCTCTTCTGCAGTACCATGTTCAGTGTATGTGTTACTGTATGTTTGTTAGGCAAAGGTAAACGTACCCCATTTCTCCCTCCCTCCTCTACCTCCCTCTCTCTCCCCTCCCTCTCCCTCCCATCTCCCCAGGCCTCAAAACAGCACCAGAGGCACCGAGGAATGTCTCCTCCGGCCGCTGAACTCATGTACATCAAGATAGCTCAACAGCTGCCTGAGTATGGCCACGAGGCTTTCCAGACACTGGTGAGCTGTTCTCAATCCTTTCACCAATGAAAGTGGTGTCCTTATTTCAGGGGTTAAACTGCATAAAAAAACTGTTCTTGAGGAAAGAAAAGGTGTCCTTGGATGTCCTAGTCAGCTTACGAAGGGGCTCTCTAATTAGAATTCCATGCCAGTGAAAAGTGGTGTCTTTATTTTGGGGGTTAAATTGCATGCAGGGAGGGAAGGGTTGTGTCAATGGGATAGAAGAAAGAGGTGTCCTTTTTTGTCAGGGGTTAAACTGCATGCAAGAAACTGTTTTCTTGGGGGGAAACTGTGTCCTTATTAGGGAGGTTTTCTTGGAAAGCTGTATTTACTGTGGGGCTCTCTAATTAGAAATCCAGATCGTGCGAGAGTCTTGATTAGTGATGTGTTCTGACTTTAAGAAAGTGTCTTTATTAGGCATCTTGTTTTACAAACAAACGCGGATAAAGTAGTGCATATTGCGTACGTAAGTAGCGAAAACGCTCACTTTTTTCCACATCATTTCACTCTCTCTCCCCTCTCCCCTCTCTCTCCCCTCTCTCTCTCTCTCTCCTCTCTCTCCCTCCTCTCTCCCCCCTCTCTCTCTCCCCTCTCTCTCCCCTCTCTCCCCTCTCTCTCTCCTCTCTCCCCTCTCTCCCCCCTCTCTATCTCCCCTCTCCCTCCCCTCTCTCCCCTCTCTCTCAGGATATCCACGGCAGTACCATCTGGATAGGGGCATGTTTCATCGGTGTATTTGTCAAGCATTCCAACGGACAGCCAACCATATACTTCAAGTCAGTGTTATAATTATTATGGACGAGGAACGAAATTTTGAAATTTCAGTTTTTCGCATAATTAGAACATTACAGAGCCGTTATAGAAAATATATAATTACAGGTTTATAATCCGGCTTTGCATGGCATACTTTTCTTCCTACGTATGTGACTTTAAAAACCAGAGATGACACGGGTCATGTGACTTTAAAGGAGGGATCATGTGATCTCATTCCACAGGTGGCCTGACATCTATCGGATGAAAGTGAGGGACAAGAACTTTGGCATTGAAACACCCTCAGAGACAATTTACTTCAAGATGGTACGTGGTTTATTAATTAATTAACCCTTTAGTAGCTAACCCCTCGGTTTTATTAGGGTTAAATGGTGGGTCTTCTAGTAACATAAGGAAAACATTTCTTCCCTCAAGAACAGTTAACCCCTGAAATAAGGACACCTTTTTTCCCCAAGAACAGTTCTCAACCCCTGAAATAAGGACATCTCACTAATATGGACACCCTAGAGTAACAAACCCACTTCCCCCTTAGGAAATTCCATATTCTGTCCCAAATGGTGTCTGGATTAGAGGGGTTTCATGTTTCCTCACCTTCCCACTCTCTCTCTCTCTCTCTCCTCTCTCTCTCTCCACTAACAGCCAGACAACAGCACGGCCCAGTACGTCCTGAGAATGATGATAAGCCAACACAAGTTCTACGTCTCTGAACTTGAGGGAACTCCCGGCATCTCCTGGATGAGAGACGGGTCTGTCACATACACAACTATACACTTTCACAAATTGTTTAAAAGCGAGTTTTTTTAATGTTATGCACGGCAAGAACCAAAGCATGTTTTGAACTCCATTTCTGTATCTTAAATTCACGAAAGGTGTGTTCGCTCGGCAAAAATGAGTTGCTAGTAGTATGCAGCTGTTGCCTGCTAAAGACCACCAGTAGGACCACCACATTCACGCAACTTATAATTATGATGTTTGCTATAATTATGGGTCCAACAACAATGTTTATTTTCGCGTGCAACATGAATTTTTGTCAATTATGTCTAACTAACTTTGTCTCCATCCCAACAGGGGTCGTGGAAGATCACGCTCAGCGCACGACTTGAGGAATACTTCGACAAAGTAAACCTGTTTTTTCTCTCTTCATTCTCTTCTTCTGAAAACTGTTTTGTGGTTCTTTCGTCTTGCGTCTTGCGTGTTATCGTTCACTGTTTTAGTAAACACTCAATTACGTCACATTGTGTCACAGGTATCCGGAGGCAGCTGTTGCCAAGACACCGGGAAGTGAGAAGAAAAGCAAGCTGAGGAAATTCTTTCACCGTTAGTCCCTCTTTCTCTTTCCAGTTGAACCTCTCTCTAAGGACACCACTGAAATGAGGACACCTCTCTAATAAGGACACCTTTTCTTACTCCAAGAACAATTCTTGCATGTAATTCAACCCCTGAAATGAGGACACCTCACGAATACGGATATTCTGTCCCATTGGTGTCTGGATTAGAGGGGTTTCATGTTTCCTCCCCCTCCCACTCTCTCTCTCCTTCAGCCCCTTTCTTCAAGGAATCAGGCAGACTAAGTGCCTCTCGAAGAAGAGAAGAAGAACTGACGACCTCCGAAAGAGCAGAACACCACCCACTCCACCCCTCCAACGGGGCCATGCACAGGTGAGAGGGCTTTGTTACTTTGACCTCTGGACTCTGATCTTTGGACTTTGACCCCCACAGTCACACATTTTCGGCTCCGGTCCACACAGTCTCGCAATCTCCGACGCATTCCTCGAATTCTCGGAAATCCCCCCTCCTTCCTCACACCCCCACCTCATCACCAAATTCTCCCCTCCACACTACTACCATAGCCACCATTGAGGAACACCCCTCGCCCGAAGCTCCGCCCATAACCACACCTTCTTCGACCTACTCTCGCTCCGTCTCTCCCTCCTCCCGCATGTCGCCCCCGGGGGTCAGAGTAGAAATGGAACCTGGCGAGGGGGTCAAATATTCTCGTCTCGGGTCCCCCCTGCTGAGTAAACTCAGCCCCCTTCTTGGGGGCAAGAAAGGAAGAAGTGCAAAAACACGTGAGTTATCCCATTTTTGTTCAAAACTTTCATGACAAAAAGTTAAAGAAGTTTAATGGGTCTTTCTTTGTCTTCAAAGCCACACTCACCCTCACCAACGGAGGACTGGACTCAACTGATGGAGACGCTGCAAGCCAGGAGAGTTTCGACCTACAGGCTTCACTCAAAAAGAAGAAGAAATTTACCGGTGAGCTGCCTCAGTTGGTAGAGCCCTCCTCTAGAACACAGAGTGCTCTGCCTTGCTCTGTATGAGTGATTCGGCCCGGCCAGCTGAGCTGCCTCAGTTGGTAGAGCCCTCTCTAGATCACAGAGTGCTCTGCCTTGCTCTGTATGAGTGATTCAGGCCAGCCAGCTGAGCTGCCTCAGTTGGTAGAGCCCTCTCTAGAACACAGAGTGCTCTGCCTTGCTCTGTATGAGTGTTTCAGCCCGGCCAGCTGAGCTGCCTCAGTTGGTAGAGCCCTCTCTAGAACACAGAGTGCTCTGCCTTGCTCTGTATGAGTGATTCAGCCCAGCCAGCTGAGCTGCCTCAGTTGGTAGAGCCCTCTCTAGAACACATTTAACCCCTTGCCCACTGTATTTCAGGTTCCCTGGACCAGCTAGAGGTGCGAACACCTCCCAAATCTCTGAAGATTAGGACCTTCTCCAGTGAGGAGCAGGCCGAGCAGGAAGCTGCTAGTGGCACCCACGACAGACGAGTGAGTGAGGGAGTGAGAAGGGAAGGGAGAAGGGAGAAGGGAGAAGGGAGGGTAGGATAATATAGTGGAAGGAAATGTTCCTCTAATTTGGATATTCCTTTCAATTCCTCATATTTTCTTGGAATTCCTGTATATTTATGATGTCATCTACTTTCCTCATATCCGTTCTCCCATACTTCCACAAGATATCCGTTCTACCGGACTTGCATTCCTCCATTTCCATATTTCCAGACGTCCACTCTCCCATGTTTTCATTCCTCCATTCTCCCATATTTCCAGACGTCCATTCTCCCATGTTTCCATTCCTCCATTCTCCCATTCCCGTTCCATTCCTGCAGGGAGACAGTCTAGAAAAGCGGCTCTCGCGTGGAGATTTCTACGCAGAGTACGAAGAACTGCCCACCAACAGCCACGTTAGTCCATGATGTCATTATGACATCATCTCAATTACATCATTATTACGTTTTTTTCAATTACATCATTTCTGATTCTGTAGGACTCGGATATCAATGCTGGACAGCTGCCAGACAACATTCCAAAAAACAGATATAAAGACATTCTTCCTTACGAGGTAACATATTTATATGAATTATTAATAAGAACCATGTACATGTTTGTAAACAACCACTTGGAATTTGTTTACATGTTTGTTTGGTTTCTAGGAGACGAGGGTGAAGCTGAACCCGCAGAACAATACCAGTCACAACGACTACATTAATGCCAGCTACGTTGATGTGAGTTCAGGACGACCTTACTTTCAGGACACGTCTATGTTAGGACGACCTTACTTTCAGGACACGTCTATGTTAGGACGACCTTACTTTCAGGACACGTCTATGTTAGGACCACCTTACTTTCAGGACACGTCTATGTTAGGACGACCTTACTTTAGGACAGATTTGCAAACAGTACATTGCCTCAAAATACAGTGGAACCCTCACCCCTGAAATAAGGACACCCTTTCTTTCCCCAAGAACAGTTCTTGCGTGCAATTCAACCCCTGAAATGAGGACACCTCACTAATACGGACACTTTCTTCTGTCCCATTGGTGTCTGGATTAGAGGAGTTCCACTGTACGATGATCCTTTATGCAGTTCACAATGCTGATGAATATGGAAGTATGCTATATCATAATCCAATACGCCACCTCCATGTCTCCATACCTCCATACCCCCATGTCTCCATACCCAGGTACCGTACCAAGACACGACTCATCATTACATCGTTGCCCAGGGGCCCCTCGAACACACCTGTGCTGACTTCTGGCAGATGATTTGGGAGAAAGAGATACAAGTCGTCGTCATGCTCACCAACGAATGGGTAATTACTACTATGACGTAATGATGATGTCATTGAGATAATGGTATAACATAATGATGAATGAGGTGTAACTATAGATGTATATACATATGATGCATTGATGATGTCATTAGGGTAATTTGGAATAGCGTATAGGGATGAACATCAATATCTACAACAATGTAAATCAATGATGTAATGATTATGTCATCATCAGGAGGGCGGTCGGTGCAAGTGTCACCGCTATTTTCCAGAGGATGAAGAGGAGGGAGAGGAGGAGGATGCTAAACCCGACTACGTTCAATTTGAACAGTACAGAGTATCGCGATCTTTCATCAACAAGACTTCGACCGTCACAAACAGGGGACTCCAATTAAAGCACATCCCGACTGGAGAGGTACATGCCTAATGTATATTATGTGTGTTTGGGGGTTTGGCTTCAGTTTCAGGGTAACCATGGCGACATGCTGTGTATGCATATCTGTGAATTGAAGCGAGCCATTTTCTACTCCTTTTCTCTTTCTCCCTCCCTCTTCCTCTCTCATTCAGCTCTGACATTCAACACAATAGCTTTGTAGTTTCTCTCTCTTTCCCTTAGTTACTCCATCTTTCTTTCATTCTGTTGGTATATAATACCCTTCAAAATTCTCTCTCCCTCTCTCCCTCCCTCCCTCCCTCCCTTGACTATAGACAAGAGAAGTTATGCATCTACAATATGTGGATTGGCCAGACCATGGAATTCCCGAGGATGCACAACCATTCCTCAGTATGTACACCGCTGTCGCCCTGGTTACTGTTGCCTTGACTACAGTTGTCTTGACTACCGTTCAATCGTAGCTCAACTGTGATTTTGTAGTCTTGTATTATGGCACTTCTCTAATAAGGACGTCGTTTCTTTCCCCAAGAAAAGGCTTGCACGATGTTATGCTTCAACCCCTGAAAAACCTCACTAATATGGACACTTCTGTTCCATTGGTGTCTGGATTAGAGGAGTTCCACTGTATAATGCTCAGGACACCTCACTAATATGGACACTTCTGTTCCATTGGTGTCTGGATTAGAGGAGTTCCACTGTAATTATTCTCCGTTTTTTAAGTAAACATTTTAACTAGCGCCAGTATTCCCCGCACAAAGTTATTGTTTAATAACTGAAAGTTTTGTTTCCGTTGTTTTTGTTAACTTTCTCACAGATTTTCTGGAGGAGATGAGATCTCTACGTCAGAAATACGACGACTCCATTCCGATTCTTCTCCACTGTAGTGCAGGGGTCGGGAGGTCGGGGGTCGTGGTACTCATGGACCGGCTGATGGGCCTCGTTGACAGCGGAAAGGTTCGTTAACCCTCGCTCACTTCCTCTCCCACTTCCTGCTCACTTCCACTTCCTGTTTTGTTTCCATTTTAAATCCACTCCCTGTTGATGAGCTACTGTTGATGTACACACAGGCACACCTAAAGCACGCTCCGATACTTCTCTATTATATTATTCCCCTTATCCTGTTCCCTTTCCCCTCCCTCTCTCCATACAGACCAACCTGGACATCCCTGGGTGTCTTCAATCGCTCCGAAACCAGCGAATGCATCTTGTCCAGATGGTCGGGCAGTATAAGTTCGTCTACACCTCCATCGTCCAATACATAAAGAGAGCAAGACTTATATAAACTATTGTTTGCCTGGCATTATAACCCTGCTTTTTATTATTATACATGTCTTTATAATGAGAATGACTGATGTTAACTTTTTATGTTCGCAACTGAGTGCAAATACAAGATGATGATGACAAAATGATATCTCGTATTAATTTTCCACATGCATGTCCCGTTCCTGATCGCATATATATTCCATGCAGGAAGACAAGGTGTGATGAGTATGCATGAGGAAGAACTACAACATAAAAACGTAGGTTTCTGTCCTCTACCTGCAGGATGTGATTACTACTTGCAATTTACATATGAGCACGACAATTAGCACTTCGAATTCAAGCGCTCTTCACATTTCCCCAATACTTTTAATTGCGAAAACGTTAATATTACAACAAAACCTTTTACGCTGTGCATCATCTGAGTGTGCATGCGTGCTGGAGAATGGATGAAGACACGAAACGATCCAATCTCACTTTTCTTGTAATGAAGCACGCCATGGAGATACCCATGGCGTCCCAAGGGTTCCACAAGTAGCGGGTGTGCCGATTTCGTTGCATCGCGTAAACAGCACCACAACACATCTACTGGTGTTCGTTAACCTTTGTACTGTGATGTTTTGTCCTTGGAGATCACGTCAACAAAACAGTGATACGGATATAAAACAGATTGTTGTGCGTCACGTAATATAACTCTCGCTGTTATTATTGTTTATGTACACGAGCAAGCTTCCTTCAAGTGGAACGAAAACTTGCATACCTTCAAAATGGAGTTATGTGATGCCACATTCTCCCATTGAAATCGGAGTACGCGACTATACGCACATGCCTTGCTAATATGGGCCGCTGCACTGTGCTATGGGAGAGACATAATGCACGGTTTTGTGGCGTATAAGCAGTTTTTGTTACTGGCAAAGGCATCCAGGAGTGTTGACTGGCTCAGTTTGGGGTACCTATGACAACACAAGTGGTGCAAAGCTTTGTGGACAAGTGACAAGTGAACAAAGGCCCTGTCGAAGGAAGTACGGCATGGGAACCTTACGCAACGGAGTTCCTAACTTCTGAAAGCGGCTGGGAGCTCAGTTTAGACAAGCGACGGTGGAAGTGTGTTGTTCTGAGGGTTTCCTTCCTTTGCACACCCCGTGAATATGCATAAAACGGAGTTTTTAGTTCCGGATACTCGACATCCGACTCGCTCGAGGTCAGTTTATCCTGCTGTAGTTCAGCAACTAGTGCCCGCCCTGCTGTCTTCTTCCCCGCGCGGCTCTGGCTCGTCCAAGTTCCCGCGCTTCATCGTCTCCGAGAGAAAGAAGATGTTCGAACCAGGAGGAGGTGGAGGGGGGAAGGTGGGAGAGAGAGAGTCTCTCATACCGACACCTTCCTCGTCAGGAGGGTCGGAGCACACCGACTTCTCGGAGAAGTTTTCCGGGAAGAGACGCCATTCGGCGAAAGACCGTTTCTCGACGCGCGGTTCCTCGTTCCGTGCGAAGAAGTTGAGACCGGAGGCCAGCACGGGAGACGTCGGCAGCCATGGCTCCCCGCAGACCCGCCACAAGCAGCAGGCCAGCGTCTCGTCCATCGTTCTACCTCCCCTGTGGCAGCGGCTTCGAAACTTCGGTCACCACGACTTGCGGAGCGCCACACTGGAACGCTACACGACAGGTAAAGGCGGTTCGGGAGGCGACCGTCAAACAAGAAAGAAGCCAACGGGTGCCTCGGCGGCGCACCTGAACGCGGCGGGCGGAGAAGCCGCTCTGGAAACGTTGCAAAACGACCTCCTCGCCGTCTGCCCGGCGTTCAGAAACGAAATAGGAGGAGACGCTGACTGGACGTGTGCCCACCCCCACAACAACGAGGGAGCTAACCTACTCATCTCCCTGAGACGCAATCTGAGCCACGACAAGCAGATGAGAGTCTGCAGCCGGGCAAAGATGATTCTAGAAGGTTCCGTCCCCTCAAGAGACCCTGCCATAATGGGCTCAAAGGGGCAGAGTATGCATAGACAGGTGCTCCAGATTCAACAGGCACAAAGCAGTGTTCACTTTCCGTTTGAATTCATTGACTACGGCTCACTTTACTACCGGAATAACTTTTATCAGCAAGGTCGGCTCTCTCTCTCTCCCCTCTCTCTCTCTCTCTCTCTCTCCTCTCTCTCTCTCCTCTCTCTCTCCTCTCTCTCTCTCTCTCTCTCTCTCTCTCTCTCTCTCTCTCTCTCTCTCTCCTCTTTCTCTCTCCTTCTTATTCTTCTCCTTCCTCTCCTCCTTGCTTTAAGTGACCTGTATTTTAGCCAGCTAACCTACATACATCCCTAGTCGGTAGCTTGTGCTTACTACATACATACACCGTTGAGTCAAAATACTTCATCACAAACTCCCCAATCATGTAGATATTTTATGCGAAATAAACATTGGGGTATACGATCTATGTATGCCCAAATTTGTATAATAAGGAAATCCTGTTGGTATATAGTATCTATCTAGGTCTAAAGTCAGCATATTTGCATATCATTAATGGTGTGTTTATGTTTACAACTGTGGCGTTAATTAGGTGTGAACCTGGTTGTTTGGTGGGTGTTTTTCCACAGCACAAATTGTCTGCTACGTAATTTGAAGAGTTTGCTTTCTCGAGAAATAGAGAGAGAGAGAGAGAGAGGCTGTGTGTGTTTGTGTGTGTGTGTAATATGAAACTATTGTTACATTTGTTGTTAAGATTCGAGAAATGCAAAACACACGTCTCTATAACACACCACTTGCATTATACGTACAGTGGAACCTCTCTCTAAAAACAGCCCTGAAAAGAAGACACCTCTCTAATAAGGACACCCCTGAAATGAGGACACCTCTCTAATAAGGACACCCCTGAAATGAGGACACCTCTCTAATAAGGACACCTTTTCTTTCCCCAAGAACAGTTCTTGCATGCAATTCAACCCCTGAAATAAGGACACCTCACTAATATGGACACTTTCTTCTGTCCCATTGGTGTCTGGATTAGAGGAGTTCCACTATACATGTTAATACTACCGTTTACTCACAAAGCTTGCCGACTGTACACTTATCACTGTCCTGCCATGCACAAGTCAGCAGTACTATATAGTCACATCTCTTGCCACACACGCATGATGTATCGCACTCTGTGGTGGCTGGCTATATTATGTTCTGTAAGTTTAGAAGCACACTGTACGTAGGTTAGTGTATATATTATATTCACTTCCTTTGGGTGTTGTATTGGGAATAGTGTACAGAGGTTAATTGTGCTGATGATGTGCTGCGGTAGGCATGCTAAGCGAGCACCTTAAAGGAAGTTTCATCAGATTTCTGACTCCATTCCCTCTCTCCCACCTCCCTCCCTCCCTCCCTCCCTCTCCCACCTCCCCCATCACATTACCACGGTGTAACCACTAATACAGTGACACACACAACCACACACAATCTTGGCTGAGATTCCAACAAACTGTTTATTCAAAGCTATGCGTACTCTCTACTTGTGCTGATATTAACACGAATTATAGCCAATGTCACTCCCTACCTTGTCGCATTGTGTAGCCGCCTGGAGAGTTAGATGATGTCATTCTCAGTACAAACGATGTAATGATTACTTGAGTGAGCAGTAGATGTGCCGTAACAAGTATTGCCTTTAAGTCAATTTAAGTCTCCTAAAAATTAGTAGTGGAGCCATTTTATAACGGACACTCCGAATAAAAAAAACATCCTTTTTAAGAACACTTGTTTCCTTTTGTGCATTTTTCAACCCCCAAATATGGGACATCTCTCTCTCTATAAAGAAAATTTTTCATGGCCCTTTGGCGGTAGCACTGTAACTGCTTTCAAGGCAGATGATTCTAAATAATGCCCGCTTCATATACTTTCGACCACAAGAATGTTTGATGCACTGTTGAACGTGGGAATAATTATGTGGTAAATTCTCCATCCAGTACTTCTGGATGCTTTACAATTGACCCACTTCCTATGTAGTATTTACATAATTAGTACATATTACTACATGATTCCCTGTACGTTGCATGTGTGTATAGTGGTGTATATATACATACATTAGGTATAAGGGCCATTTCCCACACGTCACTCCGTTGAGTGCTCAACGACCAGAGATATTCTATGTATGTAGAATGTTCCGGAATCAAGAGGTCAGATATAGAATGTTCCGGAATAAGAGCCGGAGCCTCAACTGGCGAGAACAAAGCCATTGTGCTGTTTTCCAGATTAGCATGGGCCGGCCTGGATTTATGAACCTGGACATGAATGGGACAAAGAGTGTCCAAATTAGTTAGGTGTCCTTCTTTTGTAGCACTCGAGAACTGCTCTTGAGGAAAGAAAAGGTGTCCTTATTAGCGAGGTGTCCTCATTTCAGGGGTGTCCTTAGAGAGAGGTTCCACTGTATAACTGAACATATCAACTGCACTAAAAAACAGCCTTTTTCCCCCATGGGTCCATGTTACTGTTCAGAGGTTTTTAGCTTGGATAACTGTAGCAGTCTTTCCGCCGCAAGTTTGTAAAATCTCTCCTTTATTTGTGCCACACAAGAAAGACACGCCAGTTTCTGGTGAAAACGAGGAATGGTAAACAAAAGGTGGTCCCTTCTCAGTAGAGGCAGCTGCAATGTTGTCAAATGTGTTGTGGAGATGTTTCCGTTTCAACACCTGACCTTTGTTGTTTACTACACTGAGAGAGAGAGGGGTTAAAGGAGGAATTGGAAGATGGGGAGGGAGAGAGGGGTTAAAGGAGGAATTGAATTGGTTTCTGTTTCATCACCTGACCTCTGTTGTTTACTACACTGAGAGTGTGGAGAGAGGGAGAGAGGGGTTAAAGGAGGAATTGGAAGATGGGGAGGGAGAGAGGGGTTAAAGGAGTAATTGAAGGAAAGGGAGGGAGAGAGAGGGGTTAAAGGAGGAATTGAAGGAAAGAGAACGAGAGAGGGGTGAAAGGAGTAATTGAAGGAAAGGGAGGGAGAGAGAGGGGTTAAAGGAGGAATTGAAGGAAAGAGAACGAGAGAGGAGTGAAAGGAGTAATTGAAGGAAAGGGAGGGAGAGAGAGGGGTTAAGAGGGGGAGGTTAAAGGTTGGTGTTACTATGAAACGGAGACGGTTAGATCATTAGCGTACTAATTTGAGGAGCCTATCCCTCCCTCCATCCCTCACTTCTTTCTTCCTTCCTCTCCCCTCTCTCTTTCTTATCTTGTCTTGCCTGAAGCCAGTTCCCATTTCTTCCAACCTGTTCCCACAGCAACCAATACCCGGCCCTAATTGATGTTTTGTCAATATTGACCCAGTGACTGAGCCTTTCCGCATAGGCCTTTGTTGAAATGTGTCATAGAGGTGTCCTGATCTCAGAGGAAAGTGTCCTGATTAGAGAGGTGTCCTAATTGGTGAGGTGTCCGCAGAAGAAAGTGTCCTGACCTTATTGAATTACTTACTGGAATGCTTGTTGACCCAGACACTCCGTCGCCGTGGTTACTTGTGTCTGAGTGGCTGAAAATTGGCATGATGTCATTACCACCTGCTATGATGTCGCTTGTTGGTAGAAATGAGCCTTGGGTCAAGCATACATACACTGGTGGTTAATGCTGTTTCCTTTGTGGTTTGATGAAATAAGTCACGTCCTGTTCCCACTTCCTTAGCAACAGGACACGTAATATTTCAGGACGTCCTAAACTTAGACCTGTCCTGAAAGAGAATGCAGAACACTCTTATTAACGTTCATTGTAATCAGGACATGATTTTAGGTCGTCCTAAACTTACACCTGTCCTGAAAGAGAATGCAGAACACTCTTATTAACGTTCATTGTAATCAGGACATGATTTTAGGTCGTCCTAAACTTACACCTGTCCTGAAAGAGAATTCAGAACGCTCTCCATTGTGTGTCTTACACCGTATGACTGTATGTATGTATATACTGGTCCTGAAAAACACCTGGTTGACTGAAGGGAATTGTACATACGTAGGAGAATAGGAGAATATGGGATTCCGCCGTAGCCTTTAGCAAACTGTGGTAGTTTATCGTCACGGTTACCTCAACAATAAACTAGTTTACTCTAAACAAAAAGTTCTGTAAAAGGCTTTCCCATAACAGACTCAGCATCATCACTAAGTACGGTAGTACTTAGTATATAGGGATTGGCACGGTACCTAGCATCATAGACCCTGTCACAGAAGTTTAACCCTGTCCTCATACTCACAGAAGTTTAACCCTGTCCTCACACTCACAGAAGTTTAACCCTGTCCTCATACTCACAGAAGTTTAACCTTGTCCTCATACTCACAGAAGTTTAACCCTGTCCTCACATTCACAGAAGTTTAACCCTGTCCTCACACTAACAGAAGTTTAACCCTTTCCTCACACTCACAGATCACCAGAATTTCTTTGGCGTGGACGAGACAAACGGCCCTCTGGCCATCTCTCTGAAGAGAGAGAAAGTTCCGGAAGATTTTTCAGAGTTCTTTGATATCTCCACGACAGGACCCCAGGCCACGCCCCCCAAACACCAGTATAGGGTTATCATTAGATCCTCCGAGGTGAGTGAAGAGAGGGGGAGAGAGGAGGGGGTGAATCGGGATAATTAAAGAGCTAATCAACTTTTTGAGTCGGAATTCCGTCTGTAATAGAACTAAGTGGCCGCCAATCATCGTAAACAATGGACCGTCAGATTTCATCAAGTAATTTTGTCTACGGTCTAAATGTTTGTAATTACACCTCGAAATGTCCTTTATTTAGTAGCTTACCTTATTGGCGAGCGAAGCGTTCCCACCTGGTCCTGTGAATTGTGCAATTTTCAATTAGTGATGACACTTTGACCCTCCCTCTTCCTATGTATGTATGTATGTATGTACGTATGTATGTATGTATGTATGTATGTGCAGCTTGAGGCCCTGAGAGGGACGATTCTCGAAGATTCCATTCCGAGCGGAACCAAGACCGGGACGAGCAAGGGGCTTCCCCCTCGTGAGGTCATCGATTACATCAGTCAGGGGGAATTCCACGTCACGTGTTTGAAAGTCGGCAAACAGGAGAAGAAGGTATGTTTTTTAAAAAACGACCGACCAATCAAATTGTAAAGATAGCATGGAGTGTGTATGTATAATTATGTTGCAGTACAGGGCGAATGCTGTCCTGTCTGGGTACTGCAACAGATTTGTGTGGATATCCCTAGGCAAACGACATGTATGAACCCTGCTTGCACACTTAGGATTGTATGGGCTGATACAATCCCCCAGTACCTAGCTTCATACATGTCGGTTGCCTCGGGATATCCAACAAGTATGTATGCATGTACACATGAAGATATTAGACCGTGCGATGCCAAGTGTACATCACAACTTTTGTATCTGCTCACACTTCTGACACTATTTGCATTCAGCACTCGGTGCTACGTCTCTGACGAATTACGCTTTACTTATGTTTCGATTCAAGAACAGTTGAATCAGTGTTAATTTAAATCAGACTGCGTCAACTCTGATCAATTCCACATCAGGTGTGTCAGGAGTTAATGCGACTCGACGAACAGGAACTCAACAACAGATACAAGGTCGGCGTCCTGTACTGCAAATCGGGACAGACAAACGAAGAGGAAATGTACAACAACGAGAGTGGAAGTCCAGCTCTGGAGGAGTTTCTGCAGACGTTAGGCCAAAGGGTGACGATGAAAGGATTCACAAAGTATCGAGCCCAGCTGGACAACAAGACGGATACCACGGGAACACACAGCGTATACACAGAGTATCAGGGGTCAGAGGTCATGTTCCATGTGTCTACGTACCTTCCTCACACTCCGTCCAATAGCCAACAGGTCAGTCCCTGTTTTTAGAACCGGTTTTTTAACCGGTTTGAAGCAAGTTTTTACGCGTGTGCTATAAATTCTTTTTTTTGACCGGTTTAAGGGTATCACTAAGTTTAAGGTTACTTTTTGAATCACTGCTGTTTTAAAACTGGGTTTTTGAGACAAGTTTTGTGCAGGCGCGTTTAAGATACTGGTTCTGTCTGATATGTTCACGTTTTAAATGCTTGTTTGGAACATGATTGTATTGTCCTCCTCCCTCCTCCTCCCCCTCCCCCTCCCCCAGCTCTTGAGAAAGCGTCACATTGGCAACGACATTGTCACAGTGATCTTCCAGGAGCCGGGCTGCACTCCGTTCTCACCCTAAAGGCATCCGCTCCCACTTCCAACACATCTTCGTCGTCGTCAGAGTCGAGAATCCCGGCACCGATTACACCAAATACCGGTCAGTCGTTTTCTATTAATTAACAGGGACGGTGGCTGGTTTACTCGGCAACTCATTAACAATGTGTGAGGGTCAAATTTTTTGTTTCTGCTTTAAAATTTCTTTTAGCCCACTCAATATTTACTGCTTTATGCATCCCTATGCACATTATCTTGGCTGCAACATCCAAGGGATATGGTTTTAACCCTTTCTCTCCCGCTTGAATTTTGGTGGATTTAACCCTTTCTTTCCCAGTTGAATTTTGGCAGATTTAACCCTTTCTCTCCCACCTGCAGTGTCGCAGTCACCAGAAGTCAGGATGTCCCATACTTCGGTCCCCCAATTCCCGAGGGTGGGCTCTTCGACAAGAACGAACATTTCCGGGAATTTTTCCTCACGAAACGTTAGTGGTGTCCTGTTATGTACACTATGTACTTACTTGGCTTTTCAGGACATCCTGAACCTCATTTATTAGGACACCCTGTAAAATATTTTTAGTGCCATTTTTTTGTACAAAAACTTGTCAATTGGACAAATTTTATCGCTTTTCTCTTCATTTCTTTCTTTCTCTGTCCGTCTTCTCCATTATCCAGTGATCAATGCCTGCAACGCCAGCTTGAGGAGCGAGAAGTTTGCTACCATGGCAACCAGAACTCGTCGAGCAGTACCTGTTGGACCTGTGTGAGAACAGTTGTACCAGTATCACCATTGACCAGGCCAACACCTCCGGTCTTGTAGGTGAGTGAAGAGAGAGAGGGAGAGAGGGGAGAGAGGGAGTGAAATAATGTGGAAATGAAAAGGGGGAGAAGAGAAAGAAGGGGGAGAGAGGGAGAGAGGGGGGAGGGGGTACAGTGGGACCTCTGATAAGGGACCCTCCGAGATAGGGACGACCTCTCTACAAAGGACACTTGTTTCAACCCCACGCTAATACTTTAGTGTATATTATTTGACCCCCGAGATAGGGACGACCTCTCTACAAGGGACAGAATCGTTGGCCCCATAGTGTCCCTTGTTCGGAGGTATTTAGAACTATATACAGTATCGTGCACTGCAGGCCACGAGGCAGCCTGATACCAACCACTTCAGATCTACGAAGAGCTCGAAAATATAAGTACTAAAGTGCAAACCCTCGGCACTCTATAAACCTCGAACCAAATAGAGAAGTACCCTTTATTCTGAGGGTCCCTTTCATAAAGTCTCAAATGTACATGGGCAGGAGGGGAGAGCATTATACGCACTACATGTTGTGTCTAACTGACCCACCCACTACAGAACCAGTATGTTAGCTTTAACTGTTGCTATTTTTAGAAGTTCTATATTTAACCCGCTCTCTCCCGCCAGGCTTGCTGTCCAAGAACTGGGGAGGGAAGAGGAAGGAGAAGCCGCACCTCCAGGCATCGCTGGTCTTCACTCCAGGCGCTCTGGTCTGGAACGTGGCCATCGTCACCAGGGAGGGAAAGGTAATTTGTGCGAACTCTGACCCCATTGATTGAACAGGTGCTTGCAGCTCTGTTACCTTTAGAAAACATGTATATACCTTACACCTTAATTGCTCTGTATTAGTAATTCATATTACTTTTGCCATAATGTTTTTTGGTGTGCTCTTTCTACATATATGTGTACAGTGGATCCCCTCTCTAAGGACACCCCTGAAATGAGGACACCTCTTATAGGACACCTCCTTCCCCAAATGGAAATGCATGTAACCCCTGAAATGAGGACACCTCTCTATAATCAGTACAGCATTTCAAAAGTTCTTGCATGCAACTCAACCCCTGAATTGAGGACACCTTACTAACATAGACACTTTCTTCTGTTCCACTGGTCTCCTAAATGATTTATCCCCCCTCCTCCCTCTCCCCCCTCCTCCCCCTCCCCCTCCTCCTATCTCAGCCTCTCCCATTCTCGGAGGAGCACGACACGGCGATGGAGTGCATGTTGGTACTAGCTGCGGACCTCATGGCCTTCGTCTACACCAACACTAGAGAGAATGTTCTCCACATACCTACCAAGGACGTCTCCGGATGGGTCCAGGACGGGAAGAGGTGGGCGTGGCTTGTGGGTGTGGTTATATTGTAGCTCTAAATAATGCCACCTCTCTAATGTAACTTCAATCCGGTGGTAACGTTTTATTGTACATTCAACCTTCTAATCCAGATACCAATGGGACAGAATCTAGTGAAATGTCATTTATTTTAAAGGTTGAACGAACTGTTCTTGAGGAAAGAAAAGGTATCCTTATTATAGAGGTGTCCTTATTTCAGGGATGTCCTTATTAGAGAGGTGTCCTCATTTCAGGGATGTCCTTATTAGAGAGGTGACCTCATTTCAGGGATGTCCTTATTAGAGAGGTGACCTCATTTCAGGGATGTCCTTATTAGAGAGGTGTCCTCATTTCAGGGATGTCCTTATTAGAGAGGTGTCCTCATTTCAGGGATGTCCTTATTAGAGAGGTGTTCTCATTTCAGGGATGTCCTTATTAGAGAGGTGTCCTCATTTCAGGGGTGTCCTTAGAGCAGTGTTCCACTATATTGTACACTCGTAGGAGGCCATAAATAGGGAACGTAAAGATGGGTTTTCATACAATATTTCAGAATAAACATGTGTCCTTATTTATTTTCTCTAAACTCGTAATTTCAGAATAAACCTGTTCTACGACGGAACATACTGCCTAAGTATTGAGGTATACGATCAAGACGACGCCAGGGAAATTACTTCCCGTTTACTGACCCTTGCACCCTGCGTCACCGCATCACACGAGGTCAGGTGATCCACATTACATCATCATCATGGCAACAACATCATTACGTCATAATGATGTCATACCCCGTAGGCCACGTTGATGGAGTTCCAGCGAACGCAGGGGGTGCTGCTGGGATTCAGTATCAACGAAGTTTGCGAAGTTTTGAGGGTTTCTGGACAAGCCAAGCAGATTGGACTCCAGATTAAAGCAAGGATACTGCAAGTAAATACATACGTACATGTTATATCGCTCGGCTGGGTTTTAAATATCGCGGGGGCCCCCTATCCCCCAATTGTACAGGTTGAGGATAAACTGGTATGCAACCACAAGCATTCTCAGATCATCGACATATTGACCGACAGGAAGAAAACCAACATGAAGGCCTTCGTCATTCCTCCTGTTCCACAGACTCAGAGGTAGTGTATGTACTACAGTTTTGCACACGTGTTTTTTACCCGTACGTATGGGAAGGTTGTATCTAACGTCCTTTAGACGCCTTAGGGCCGTTGAGTTGTGGCATTCTGTACATAATATCTATAGCTAAGAGTCTAGAGGCCTCAAATGTGCATTCTGCGAGCTACATTCTCTCTCCCTTTCTCTCTCTCTCTCTCATCTCCTTCCCTTTCTCTCTCTCTCTCTCTCTCTTAGACTCTGCTGTAACTACCCGCCAGTCAACTGGGCAGAGGTTTGTGGTCAAACCGTCCCACGCCACATGAAAGGAGAGTTCCGACGACCAGACAACTGACGTCGTCGTCACAGAACGGAACGGAGCCGATGGAGGAAACGGAAACCTCTCCGTCAGTACGGCATGAGGAGGGGGGAGGAGGAGGGGGAGGAGGTGTGGGTGTTGAGAGATCGTGGAAAAGAAGAGCAGCTACGTACATGGCTCCAGACCACAGAGGTCCTCCTACCACGAGGCTGTTATGTTAGAAACTTCTGTTGAACTGCTGAGGTAATGATGATAACAATATTAGACGAATAGTAAACAATTGAAGTATCAGAATTGGTATAGGTTTCAGTTCAATCTTTGCACATTCCCTTTAAATAATGATTTAAGCAAAATAAATGAGGGTTTGGTTATAAATTTTAGTTGATGAAAAGTTTGTAAACTTTAACACAAATAAGATCAGCCACAAGACGAGATGCCGTTTTGATGTGACGAACCGATTATGACCGACTCCGCATTAACGAGGGGAGGCGGACGGTCAGGGAGGAGTCTCATACCGACCAACATTGCCAGCCCACAGACACTGAGGCGCACGCAGCCCGAAACTCGGACGAGGGGACAGACAGTGGGTTCACGAGGGTTCGCCGGCCAGGGAGGAGGAAGAGAACATGCTTGCCGCCAGCAGATTGCCGGAGAATATTCGCGGGGGCTAATTGAGAGAGCCTCTGTCAGGTGAGGGGGTCCGAAATTAGTTAGGGTCGGATTAGTATAGGGATGTCCCTGATAGTGAGGGGTCTGATTAGTGAGGTCTGTCCTGATTAAGAAGTGGGCCGATTGCAAGTGGCAATTATTATGTAAGAAGTTACTATTATTCATTATTGTTGAAATTGGAGTGCGAACTTAGTGCAAAATTACAACAATTTTAAAGCCTTCCAGTCTACAAATAAAAAGTAATATTACAACAGAAAGATCAAACAATTAGAGTAGCGAAGCATAAAATAGGTCGTTGTTCCTTCTCTCAGCTTGCTGACCATCTTTCCTGAACCCCTGGAATACAGATTGGACGACTATACCTCCAACGTTCACCACACACGTCTCATCTTCAAACTTTCTACGACTATAAGCCTCACACACATCCGCCCCTCTCTACCTCCCTCAAGAGAAGGTTTATTAGAACTGAGCTCTCAGTGGTAGAGCCCTCTACTAGACACACAAGCCGTGCCTCTTTCTTGTCTCTTGCTCTGTATGGTGATAGACCAGCCAGGTGAGTTCTGCTCTTTCTCAGTTGGCTCCATGTGTCAAGCATTATCTCTAGAAACACAGAGTGATTGACCTTGCTCTGTATTTGAGTGATTAAGCCAGCCAGATCAGTTCCGACTTTTAGAGCCAAATCTTAGACAAAAAGAGCATGCTCTGTATGCCTGTATGTTAGGACGTTGCACAGCCTGCAGATTGCCTCAGTTGGTGTAGAGCTCATCACTTAGAACACACCGTGGTCGCTATCGCCATTGCCTGTATTGAGTGATGCGTGCCTAGACAGATGAGATGCCTAGGTTGGTTATTGAAACACTATCTGAACACAGAGTGCTCGTGACCTTGATGTATGAGTGATTCGGCCTAGAAGATGAGCTGCTAGGTTCCTGCGTTTAGAGAACTGAATCTACTGAGATAACCTTGCAGTGACAGGCCTTGCTCTGTATGGCTGATTCTCAGCCTGCCAGACGAGTTATGCATCAGTTGCGTAGAGTTCACTACCTGAAACAGAGTGATCTGAGGCTCTGTATGTAGGATCACCAGCCCAAGACGATGAGCTGCCTCAGTTGGTTAGAGCCCTCCGATTATTCTCTAGAGCAAAGAAGGGCTTCCCTGCACTTTATGAGTGATACATGCCTAGCAAAGACCCCTGAGTTGGTCCCTAAGTTGGTAGAGCGCCCCATCCTCTTAGAACCACAGCAGTGCTCTGCCTGCTCTGTATGAGTGATAGCCCAGCCGCCCGGAGCCTGCTCCTCACCCGTCGGAAGAGCCCTCTCTAGAACACAGTGCCGCTAGCATCGCTCTGTTGTGAGTCGACTCGGCTCGCAGCCTGAGCTACCTCGGTTGGGAGTCTATCTGCTAGAAATAACAGAGCAGAGTGCATCTGCCTGGCTCCTGTAGAGTGATGCAGCACAGACAGATGAGCGCCCAGTGGTGGAACGACCTCGAATGAGAACACACGAGGGCCCCTGCTGCTAGGTAGGTGAAATCA